TAGGGGTTCGATAGATTCCCTTCCTTTAGGTTTGGTTGGAAAAAGGATATTCTATGGGCAATTTTGATTTAGTTGGGCTATCAGGGGCAAGGTTTCTGAACGACTGGCTTGCCTAGTCCGCCCACTTTCTGTACAACAAGGTATACACTTGGGGGTTTTGGTTCTTTTCTTTTCTTCTGGCTCTAAGTTGCCTCCTTTACTCATAAACGATCTCATTTGATCCTGGACGATATTCTGCACGTGGGAGTTTCACCCTTAGCTATAGACGAGGAGTCAGGTTTACCCCTGAGATCCATCTGCGCAAGCAGCGATACACCAAAATTCATGTAGTTTAGAATAGACATTTTCATGCATCTTTGCCTTTCTAAAAAGCCCGTATAAGAGCAGAGTTCGCTTAGCCTTGTGCACCCACGCTTCATACACCATGCCTAAGTGACATGAGCGACGGTAGGAATCTTGAATGTGGGTTATTATTTCTACACAACAACATTGCTTGTGTTACTAGATATCAGCCTATCCAACTCTACATAGGTAGGCTTTGCCTTTTTCAAGGGGAACAGATTATAAAAAATTGACTAATATATCTCAACCATCCCAATACGATCTCTAGAGGGCACCGCCAGTGCCGTGCCCCTGACTAAAGCATGTAGGCTGGTGGAACCAGGGAACTGCTCTAATGTCGTGGTTCTATGTTTGCCGCACGGGATGGGCCGCCCCCATCCACGATTACGCACACGCTCGTCAGCTTATTTCCAGGTAGGTAAGATACTACGGTTTCCGAGGGTTTGGTTTCATGTATAAATGCGCTTCTTATCTTATGTAATACAGTGCTGCCGTCAGAGTTTCATACGTCGCCTGATTCTTGTTAAATTAGACTTGTGCTTATTGCGCTGTGCTATATCGAGACTCGGAGCGCCATTCCGAAAAGGTAACGAGGGGAAACAATAAATGAGGTCATTTAGATGCTTATTTCCGTATCCTACCCTCGACGCCAACGGTTTCTTCTAGCGGGATACACGATTATGTCAGTCGCGACCTTATAAAAGGCCAATATCATCCTACCTGACACCAAGTTCAGTACTACAAATCTTAAATATAGAAGATACTACTTTACTAACGGAGAAACAACCATAAGAGATGTAGGATTTAGGGCGTCTCTTCGCCCTACTATCATATAAAGCAAAACCTGTCCCACTAGAACCAGGGATCCCGGTTACGCACGGTTCATCATCTGCGCCCCCTGACCCATAGATATACGGGTTATTCTTTGAAATAAACTCGGCGAGCGGTAAGTCGTCGACTACGAAGATAATACACCGATATACCTAGGTAGGTAAGTAGGTAGCCTTACAAAGGGCCCAGAGCCGTATTCGTAGATATCCCTGATCTATTCCTTAGGTATTATTGATATGCCAGACATACGAAAGTACCAGTTACCCACACAGATCTACTACTTCTCAGATGATCCAATGAAGTAAGCAGGACGAAAGACAGGGTCAAAACTGCCCAGGTAGCCCACCCGTCCAGCTAGAGGCTACAGTAAACTACTACTTAATACATAAAGAGTGTTATTCCGAGGTCCCATTCTAAGGAGCCCTAAGGCGAAAACAATAGTGTGTGTTCCTGGATTGGTAAGAACTTGATTCCAGTATCGCACTTCACATGTGAATCAGTCCCGTTCAAGTAACATGTGAAGTAGACCCTTGCACATATTACCATACGATATATACCCGCAATACATTTAACTGCCGGCATTGGAAATTCTATTTCTATAAGGATCAGACATCGCACGGTTGCCGTTCACTTGCCCAAGCAAAAGAACCTCTGCCTACTCTGGGACAAGGACTAAATGCTCTTTACCTAAGCCCTATCTATGCCGACTATTTTAGTATTTCTATTTTATTAGCGACGTACTCAGTATATTGAAGACCCTACCTACGTTTTCTATAATTAGAGTCTGAAACTACCAAAGGTGTGGTAGTTGTAACGCGGGTCCAGCTGATCGGGATTCTTCACGACCCAACTGACTGTTTCATTCCACTTTAAGTTTTTGACACCTTTTTCTTTAATTATTTTTTCAACCAGAAGAAAAGGTCGCCCCTTTTCTACTTCCAATTTAGAAACAATTATATTCATGACAATGACATATATTATACCATAGGAAGATAGACATATGCCTACTCAACATTCCTTAGCTTTTATTAGAATCATTCAAGTCAGAGTTGAGCATAGCTTATATGCTCTAAAAAAAGCAATAGTAATTATCGTGCACAGTAATGAGCGACACCCCAAACAGTATAGGTACTCGAGACCGTGTTACATAAAATATCTTCTCTTCTAAGCCTCTATCCACCCTATAACCCTTTCATATTCTTCTATACTACTAGAATAATTCGTGACTATTCTGCCCCGCTAGCCCACTTGCATGTTAAACTTGCACTAGTGGCATTGCATCGTAACGTCCCGTCCCGCCCTCTCCGTGAAGGATGAGAGATATCGGCCTCGCTCCCACGTCACATCTACAATACTTTACCTGACCAAGCTCCAATAAGCAGGTTACTTTATTTTAACAACAGATGCGAGAGATAGGCTTAACTACCAAGACACCATAAAGCAGATGCGGAGATCAGGCAAGAACCCTGAAGGAATATGGTATATCACCACATTCTGATTTCTCAATTATAAACTGCTTTCCCACACGTTTCGTTGGAATCAGGCATAAAATATAGGCAAAGCTATGACACTTGGGGCTATGTCATAACCAACTCTTTTGAACAAGAGCGACTTTCCTACGCCTAGTTCTACATAGCTTGCTGTCGATAAATAACCATTACAAGTGTGGCTATGGGAAGCATTTGCCCTCAATCAATATTTACATTATTCAACCTCAAAAATAAACTGCGGGAAAAATAACCATATCAAGTCTGGCCACGTCAAATTTATACCGTTATAGAAATCACAACATATCACAATTATATTATCCTGTATATATATTTCGACAAGAGCAGGATAAAGCCGTAACACATTGCCTCCTGATGTCATAGTGTTCTAGAAGCAACAACGTTCATTTCTACACGAGATTTTGTCCCACATATTCCAGATACATATCACATATCCAGTCCTCAAAAGAGTTAGCTGGGGCCTGTATGATGTAGGTAAGTCTTTGAGCAATTTGAAGACGTTTTTGCCGTTGTTATAATCATCCCACTATCATTATGTCACACATTATGGTGGAACAGGACTCTTTAGATATTCACGGATAGAGTCAGAATCAACTCCAGGAATCACGTCAAATAATTTTCTCCATATTATGTTGTCAGCCTAGGCTGACCTTCACTCCGCATGCCCAACTCTCTACTTCTCTTCCTTTTTTCCTTCGCAAGTGATCACATTAAAGACTGCTTCCATATTACGCAAGGCCAAACACCGGCCGCTATCCTTTCACGTCACTTTCAAACAGCAAGCCAGGCCGCAGTATCCGACAGGTAGTGAAAGGCTGGAATTTTTTAACACTTTGAAAATTTACAGGCCTCAGTTTAAATGAACATCTTACCTGAAAACCGTTCGGAGCTACCATAACTCTGATAGCTTAGGCTACCTAGTTATATTTTCAGTACCTCATACCCTTGGTTGTCTTTAGACTTCTTACAATTTCCAACCTACTTGAGTAACTACATGTACAACCAAAGCCGGGTTTATCGGTCATGATTACCGGAAGATCGGGACATCGGCACAGAGATAACTTGACTTCCGGTTGCCGACTCCGGGGACGGCCACATCCATTCCGGGACAATTAGGTAGGTACTCTTTACTTTGCTAATATTATTATTATTAACCTTAGTGGTTATCCACCATCACCATTGATCATTAAATCCCTTATTCATCATCCTAGGCTCCAACCATACTTCATCAGGTACCTACATCAACCCAGACCTGGCACAGTCCACTCAACCAAACTTGGACCAACTCACAAACAATCTCTCAAAAGTTTTCTACACCAACCTATTATGAGACATATCTGGACTTCCTCTTAACTCATGATCAGGCACTGACAACAGGTCAACGTCGTTAATAGTCATCAAAGATCATTATTTCGCACCTCATTTTCCTTCTGCTTCTTTGCATCCCATCAACAAAAACATTCCACCAACAAGACATGTGAAGGGTGATGTCCATAACATGAACATATTTCCATCACCGGCTCCCGGGCTCCCTAACGAAGAAGAAGAGATTCGCAGTTACCAGAAGTCTGATAATTTTGTATTGGGCCCTTCAAGCTCCAATACTATCATTGCTTTTGAGGAGCAATACCTTACAGGCACTTGGAGTGAACCGTTCCGTTTTCGATTCTGCTCTAGTCATCCATCTTCGTACGTATTTCGGTCATTGTTTTCCTTCCTTCAGCCTTTCAATACCACAGATCGTTACCCCCCTTTAACCCACACCGACCTTGGAAAAGATATTTTCTTCTTCCATGATCTATCAACATACCATCACAATCCTTCCCTGTTCATTTTCTTTCCATCTGCTGTCCTCGCTACATCCCTACCTGTCGTATATTGACGGTGCTATCTGGTCCTCAGGGCACTCTATACGAAGGGGGGATGGCTTGGTGAAGCCTCATCTTCCACTCTTATTTTAATATCTTCTTACCTGCCCTTTTCTCACATCCTACCAAGATCGTTATTACTTTAACAGTTTTGGCACAACCGGGTCCACAAATCGCCCCTGCCTAACAATCCACCCCTGGTCTAACGGTAAATACCAATCGTTCTTTTGTACTTTACATGTACGTTCATTCCCAAGACATGACAGACCGACCCGACTTCCTAAAAAGACATTTGTTACAAACTCTTCGGCCTTTCCTTACTACAAGACCGACATCTTACATCATCGACACCTCACCTACATATTTCATCAACATCACGTTACATTATCAACTTATCTACACTATCCATACAGCTATCTGACTAACTAAAACTTCAGTAGCACTACCTACAATGTCTGCACCGGTATCTGTCGACGACGAATCTGTCGACGACAAATCTGTCGGCGACGAAAGTCAGACTCTGGTCTCCATGGCCGAATGGAGTCCGACGCCGCCGGAGACTTTGACCAACATAGACCCCAACGACAGCAAAGAAATTTTACGGCTGCTAAGGCGACATATCGGTTGGATTACTGAGTGGGTAAAAAGAAATAAACCCCTGTGTAATTCCAAGCACGAAGACGAGACAGGGGAGGTTCTGAACCACGACACTGGCGATGAAGCAAAGAATGATTTAGGTGACGAGGTTAAAGAAGCAAGCACGATCCCGCATTACCTGGTCGATGCCGACGAAGCAGCAGCCGAATCTCTCGGGTATGGAAGGATCCCTTACGAGTATCTGGTAAATCCTGAGGTGTACAGAAACCAGTACTTTGAAGTCAAGAAGTCGCGACTTGGAGGGTACGGGGCCTTTGCAAAAACGGATCTGAAGCAAGGCCAGTTGATTCTCGCAGAACGTCCAATACTTACGGCAAGCCCTGTGACTTTATACCAGGATATAGAGGCGCTAGCCCCCGAGCTTCAAGCTGCGTTCTATCGAATGCATGGGCATAAAAGATCCCCTGATCATGACGAGCGGCAAGCAATCTTCCTGACCAACGCGTATGTTTTTATCTATTATATTATATAACTAACCAAAGACCGATGTGCTAATCAAGATTAATAGCTTTGCGGTTAATGAATCGTCATTCGTCTACTTTATTGCCGCACGATTCAATCACGCGTGTGGTCAGGCCAGGTCTGTCAAGTACTGCATTGCTCAGGATAATATCATAGAGCTCCGAATGGCAAAGGACGTGCCCGCTAGCACCGAGCTGACTATCTCATACGGACCGATATCGCCAAGCAACCTATATACACTATGGGGTTTCCGCTGTGCTTGTGGTGGCTGTAGGCCCCTTACGGACGCTGAAGTCAAAAGACTAGACAAGAGGGATGATGATGCTTATGGAATCTGGTAGGGTACTGAGAAGGGACGGTTAGACATTGGATGTTGTCTAATGCGGGTGGATATATGCCTACATGGGGCCCTTTTGAGATCCGTTACTTTTCGCGACTGGTTTTGTTCTAGCAAAGATGAACTCTTGGGTAGCCGATTAAAGGGGTTGCAGAGTTTACTAAAAACTGGTTTAATGAGGTGGTGAAAGGTAGATTAACCACTTCAAAGACATAAAGCAGGTGCCAAATATATCGCGTTGACTTCATACTGGGTATTCATCTCTTCTAGTTTGTTTTTATTATTATACCATTATTCATTGTTCACCCCAGGACCATACTAATGGCAGGGGTTTGCCCGGCTTATTGTGTTCTAAAGCTCTGTTTGTGTCGATTTGCTAAAAGCATACCTGGTACATACATGTATGAAGGTAGGTATGTAGGTACATCATGTATAAATCACGTGGTGCCGCGTTCAATATAAGGTAGATAATTAGGCGGCATGAATGCAAACGCGGTGTAGGTTCTTATATGTACTTTAAGTCTGTATAATGTCCGTACACCGTGGCTACTTTAACCTACACCTACGTAAGGTTAGGTAGGCAGCCGCCAACCAGCTAACCTGATAACTGACAAGGCAGCTGCCAAACGCTATGATAGAAGTCTAGACTTAACTAACGCAACCTTCTTTTTTTCCCCTTCTATTAAAACATGCCGTGAAACTGACTAAATCACTGCACGGCCCTCTAGTTTTATCAACGATGATGCTGCGGGGATCTAATAACAAGTTCACCAAGTTCCGTTTTATGTTGTCCTAGAAACCCTCTCTTAGTATTATCCTTTGATCATTCGATATGATATCCCCAGCAACGGATATCCCGTTTATAAAAGTAGTTGCTACCTATCCAACTACTTAGGGCCGCTCTCTGCTACTAAAACATCACCCGCCTGAGACATTCGCCCAATCTGTATTTCCCGACTTTCCTTCACGTTTATCATTTCCATCACTTCACCTGGTTAGGATCAGGATATCCCCTTAACGCCGACATCACTATACACTTTTGACTCCCTTATTCACCATATTTATCTACATTGCCAATTCTACTTTGGTACTGTAATAAGGGACATCTTCACCTTGTTAGGCTTTGATTCTTGGTTATTTATCCAAGATGCCTCCCCTCCCTACTTTCGACTGCTATGCTACCCTCGAGGTAGCACGCACTGCAACCGAGCAAGAAATCACTGCCGCCTACCGCCGCTTAGCTCTCATTCACCATCCAGATAAGAACCCCAATGATGCGGAAGCTGCCACGGCAACCTTCCAAAAAGTACGTTACAGTTTCTATCATTCAAGGCATAGCACCGAAACTAAATTAATATCTAACAGATCCAATATGCATACGAGACTCTGCATGATCCGTCCATTCGTTCTCGTTATGATCTTCACATGACCAATCGGAATGCCACCACAGCCCCCGGGGCCCAATTCCAAGCGCGACCGAATCCTCGGCACTGGGCCGATTCCGACGATGATGAAGAATGGGTATTCGACGATATATACCCTGACATATTCCGTCACGTCTTTGGAAATGGGGCTCGACGGCCAAATTATCCAGGATTTTTCGACAGAGATAATGTCTCTAGTCGGTTTCAGCGGGAGAGGCGCGAACAGCGCCAAAAGGTCGATGAGGTGATTCGTATGCGAAGAATGGCGGAGGAAGCACGCAAAAAAGCTCGAGAAGACGATAAAAAATTGCAAGAAGAGATGAAAGCCAAGCAAAAAGAGGACGAACAGACTACCGAAAAGTCCAACCAAGAGATACGCTGGAAGAAGCTTAACGCCATCACCAAGGATGAGAAGGTGGAAGCTTGTCTCCACTCTGGGTTCTGCAGCAAGATCCAGCAGTTTAAGAAGTTCAAATGCGGCGCCTGTCATGTGAAACGAGGCATTATAGCTTTCGAATGCCCCTATTGTTTGTCACACATCTGTCAGCAGTGCGTGTCTGACTTTGCCAAGAAGCGCTCCTTGGCCTCGATGCAGGATAGCTCTAAGCCTGAGGTTGATCCTAAATCAACGGCTGAGCCAAAGCCAGAGACTGAATTCGGACCCGGAGCCGAATCATCAACCCAAGCAAAGGGTGGGCGCCACAACGAGGGACACAGCGGCGGATTTAATGGTGTCAATGGCCACAAAAAGAACAGATACAATAAGAAATGACGGAACCCAAGCTCTTGACTTTTACTACGCCGAAGTAGATTATGTTGCCTCCAAGTGTCCCAACACCCCTAACTGCTAGGGAAATCCGCGCACCTGGGCAGGGGAGATGGGAGCAGTGCAAAGCAAGCATCATTTAATAGCAAGCCCACAGAGACCGCGATGTTATGATTTAGGATTCGTTATGAGCTAAGGTTCAGGTTGTAACAAAAACTGACAGGATCTGGTGTTTTATGGGTCTCACATCAGAAGAGTAACTACGCCCCGGAGGAGTTTTTGTTAGGGACGGATTGGCGAGATACCCAAGGATGTTTGTAGTAATCGATGCTTTTCAGTAGTATGTTCGGCTGGGGTTTCTCCTCTTACACGTGTCTACGTGTTTGGTCAATCGTGTGCTATGAATTCTCTCCAGGTGTATGTGATAGTCAGAAATCACCATTGGCAGTTAGTCTGGTTGTTAGCAAATCTCGTTTTTGTTCTGGGAGTTCACGGCGGTTGAGTGGTCGTAAAATAAGGTGATATTCTCATCTTGACAACTATGGAGACTCCACTGCTCAACAATGTAGGTAGTGTAGACGTAATGAAACCAAGCTTCCCCTGTACTCGTCATCAATGTCTGTAAGGACAGCGTAGTAGTTGACAAATTATCTACGAAGTACTTCACATTATTTTAGATTTAAACCATCACCCATATGTATGAAGGTCAGGTTGAAGGAGGTAGTAAGCCTAACTGGTAATTCGGGATTGAAATGACCCGGAACGGAGGCGTAAATAGATACGTAATGAGAGTCGGAGGGAAGCGGTGCTTTCTTAAAGACTAGGGAGTAATGAGCGTCTTGGCTAAACCAGATATCCCCGCCATGCTTACGGTTTACCTTAACTGCCTGAGGTGGCTCCGGGAACATCATCATCATCATCATCACCACCATTATCAGCAAAGCCGGCAGAAGTCAAGAACCGCACCTGCCAATAAACACCCAACACCGAAAAATCGTCCTCAAACCCGCTCTATATATATCCCACAGCCCGCCCAAATAAACGGAGCCACGACCACCCTAACCTCCGCTTCGGGAGCCGGCGCGCACAGATAGATAGATATATCCGAGACGAGACGCGCCACCTGTTTTACCTAGCCCGTCACGCCGACTCGCTCGTATATATATATAGGTAGGTAGGTAGGTACGCAACGGCTAGAGACAGACAGCACACACATGACGGACGGGCACTGTTAAGCGCCCCGGATGTCTCACGAGGCAAGTAGCACAGCACAGCGTCAGCAGCCACCACTCGTTAATAACTCGTCGGTTTACGCACCCGGAAAACGTAAGGGAGAATCTACATATGTTTCGGGTGCTGGAAGTAGGTAAGGGGGGTAGAGAAAAGGGGAACGGGAACGGGATGCTTTTTTTTTTCCATCTTTATTCTCCCGCGGCCGGCTGGTTGGTTGATCCCAACCCCTCGGGTGTTGCGGTTTTGGCAGGATATAGGTAGTGAGGTACCGTACCATCTTAGCATGCGTGTGAGAGGGGATATATTTAAAGGGCTTGGATGAGCCTCAGGGTCCTAGGGGTAGCTTGACTGATTTACACGTGATTTCTATTCATCTTGAAGCATGAGCTCGGGGTGTTGGTATGATGGATATATTTACAAAAACACTACCTATACAAGCTGCAGTAGTCTAATGAGATTTAGAGATAGCAAGATACAAATTCTGCGCACAATCAAGACTGGTCCTTTATTCAAGGGCTTATATATCAATTTGAGAATCTGCCTCGGCCGGGTATTGATCGGAAGCGGACAAATCCTCATCCCATTACCCCTTTCGGGGTCCCGTTCAACTGACGCGAAGGAGCATACATGCAAGCTCTACCTCTGGCTGCCACCGAATAAAAATGCAAGATGTGATCAGACCCATAATAATGCTACTCGTGGCCGAATGTCCAGCTATCCGCTTTGCTTTCTACCTCCTCCCCTTTTTGCTTCAGCCTCCTACTATGTCTGCTAGCAGACTCAGCTCTCCCCTTATCCTCTCCTCGCGTGCGTGAAGCACATGAGGCACCATCAGTAATAATAAAGAATATTGACAAAAGAAATAGAATAAATAATGTGTATCGCTTTATGACGGCGGTAGCGGCGTCACTTAACTCTACCCGAGCAAAGGCGTGGCGTCTGAAGACCCTCCTCTTTTCATGTACCAATATTTTGACACCTATGTGCTAGCCCGGGATCTCGTCCAACCCATTTGCCTTCTCGCCGTATCTCGAAATGGCAAGCTCCTCTTGTAGAATAAGTTTGCATTTATGTAGCTGATCAACTTTGGATTCATCCACCGAATTGAGGAAAGGAGGCAGAAGAGAGGGGCGACGCGAGCTCACGCAGCCTAACTCGGTATATAAGATTAAACAGTACATATACACCAAAAAAATTCGAAGTTATTGTCACCAAACGCCCGCCGCTATGATGGCTACCCTAGGTAGTGTTCGGTTCGTTTGCCGTTCTCATAGAATAGAAATTAACTGAAGCTTAAAGAGTGACATCGAGAACCAGGCTGACATCTTGAACGTTAGATCCGGCCAGGTCCTCGAGAACGGGTATCAAGTCTAATAATTCGTTGTCATGAGCATCCGAGAACCAACTGCTGATGGGCACGGCGTGTTGAGGATGGAAGATGTATGAGGTAGGAGAGTTGTCAATGATAATAGTATCCTTAAGGTCCCTGCCGACCTGAGAAAGATCCTTGACGTAGTTGCCCTGGTGGTTATAGCAGCTTTCTCGGAACAGTCGGTGGTGGACAACCTTGTGGATGTCGAGCTGATCTAGCAATGGATCGCCGTACTATTTAACTAGGTCAGAAGATGAGACGGTAATAGTAGTATATATAACGTACCTTAGAGACAGAGGCTGTGAACACTACAACTTCGTATAGCTCGCCCACGCGCTTCATGAACTGATCTACACCCGGCCGTTTGATGACATACACGTTATGATAATTGCCCTCAATTTCGACTGGTATCGTGAAATCGGCTTGGTGCAATATCTGCGACAATTAGCTTGTTGGCCATTTTTGCACAAGCATTTCCATGACTTACCTTGAAGGAGCTGTGCACCAAAGTCTCGTCTAGGTCTAGTACCAGACACTTTCTGCCCTTGAGATGGGGTTCAATAGGTGGTAGAAGATATTTTTGTTGGCCTTGTTCTAGATCCACGGATTTCTCCTCTGGCGCAATGGGGGCGGGATTGGCAACGGGGACCGGTCCGGGCGGCGGCGGCGGAACTGACTTCGCATACTGAGACTCGTCGTCCGTACTAGGTTGGTTAGCTGGCTCAGCTACAGCTAGTTCTGTATCTGCCATCTCAACATCGCCGTCGACGTCCCTGCTGGATGGCCCTTCGACAGCATCCGCCTCCGCTTCATGATCTTCTGTAACCGGGGGGTTAACCGTGATGCTGGGACCTGGTGCCCCGACCAAGGTAGTCTGTTTCGACTCGCTCTCGCGTTCGCCGATCGTGGACTGGTCCTGAGTCGCTGACCCCGAGACCCGGTTTGCGGATTTGGATGCGTCTTGAGCAGCGGTACTTGCTTGAGGCGACGACTCCTTCTCCTTCTCGTAAACTTGAGTCTTACTCCCACCCGTCTGCTCTGAAGGTGTTGTAGTTCGTCGGCTAGATGTCAACGGTCTTTGAGGGAGCTTATCCAGTTTGTGAGAAGGGAGTGGATCTTCACCACCTTCGAGGGTGCTGGCGTGATTAGGAACAACGCAGCATCCAAGGAGGGCCAGTAACCCGCCCTTTTTTCGCCGCTGCGGAGCCCCAGCCGGGGAGTTTGGCGGCAACGTACTTGGTGTAGTCGTGGGATTCGTGGCAGCCCCAGAGTGATTGCTGGACGCACTACCGTTCCGACGCCTGCCAAGCATACTGTGTTTTGATTCCTTAGAATTGCCACCAATGCTATCTCGCGGATCGTCAGCAGTCGTCCCGCTGAGCCCCGTTGTTGCTGACGATGACTGTATCTTTTGCGATGATGATCTCGACGGTACGTTTAGGAGGCCACGTCCTTTTCTTGAACCTAATCCGTCCTCGGCCGTAACTGATTCTTTTTCCCTCGAATTTTCGTGCTCCGCCAGTGCTTTCTCGTCGGCACCTCTAGACATCTTTCCCAATTAAAATTCGATGCTTGCTAGCTATAGGAGACAGCAAGCTATCGCACTGTAAAGGTAAGATTAGCTACCGACACATGCCAAAAACTGGAAGCGTATTCTACTTTAAACAAGGTAGATTGGCTGGCGCATGAAATCGCGTCGATCAATTGAAAACGAAGGGCGCTTCCAGAAATAAGAGGATTCGGATAGAAATAGTCCTAAGCAAGACGTGGAAAAGCTTATCAATTATTGCTCACCTCGATACTCAACAGCCGTTCACCTTAAATAGCTGCCCAAACCCCTGATGCAGCAATTGGTGTGGCCTTGAACGGCCGAGTAGTAATTAAGGCCGTGTCGGCGACCGCGACCAGAGGAGAGGTTGGCTGATGCGGCTGAATCGGGAATGCGGATGAAGATTCTAAGAGCCACGAGACGGAGACGGGCGAGGAAAAGAAGAGGCGATGCGATGGAGATGTCGAGAAGAACGGCGCGTCGTGACAAGAAACCCTGCTGAGATTGAGATAATTCGGGGGGGTGAGGATGAAGTGGGTCAGTCGCTTGGAACTTGCGAAGGAGGAAATAGATTGAACCTGGATGTAGACAGATGACGAGCCTCGAGGTACCTTTTGGGGGAGGTGGGCGGGTATCTGAACAAATAACTCCAAATCCTAGCTGTAAGAAGAAAAAATAAAATAAAGTATCTAATGGCACAAAAAGCCCAAAGATGTCCCGTCGAGAAAGCCAAGTAGTGAAAGGGAGAATGAAATGGATTGAACAAGTACAACGCTGGAAATGATACCTAAGGTAAGGTAATAGAGCTATGGGTTGGATGGAAGCTTAAGGCTTAAGTTAAGGTACATACGTACAATACGTACAAACAGAGAGCTGGCTGTAAAAAGAAATGAAGACTATCTCTTCTACCTATTGCTCTGCGGGATTGTTGCGCGGAGGCTGAAGAAGTCTGGAATCGCAAGCGAAATGATTTCAGCAAAGAAACTGGACCACATTTGGGGGGGCAGGGGAGAGCACGGAGCAATTTGAACAGGGGTGGAAAGCCGCTAGCGTGCCTGCCTTGCCTGCTTAAAATCACTTAAAATCACTTGAAATCACCAAGAAAAGGGTGTGACAGGGATGGTTTAGAGGCATCTGCCCAATTGATTGCTAAATGTACTATGTACTGTATATATGTAGCCCACTGGCGGCTGGGCTAGTCTGGTTGGTTGGTGTCCAGTAGGATTGCTTATTACTTAGGTACAACAATGTACCTGGACAGGTGATGAATGTATCTAGGTACTACATAGGTACTCCGTTTGATTATCACCCACTGTCACCGAAACATAATTAGGGTAGGGACTTGAGAAGGGAACATGTGCATATTAAAATCTGTTAGGAAAGATATGAGAGTTCCCCATAGCTCCGAAACAGAATCCATCCCGCTTTGGTACTGCTTTACAGATACTGCATCAATGATCAATATGTTTTCATCCACCTTCCCAGCTTCCCTAGCTCCCCCCCTATCTCTACCTACCTAATGTAGGTACCTGTACATGTTATAGGTACGAAGTATTGCACTAAAGAATCCACCAGAGAATAAAGAGAATTAGGTGGTCGCTCATTCAGTGGTGTGTAATTTCACGCATCTTTACTATTGTTTATGGACTAATAATCATCCGCAATTACATTTCAAGGCTATTGGATGTAAAACTTTTGGTGGCTTAATTAAGTGTCTAGTATTGTGCGTCAGTACGTCCGTATGTTGTCGTCTTTGCGCCTTCGTAAGGACAATACACTAGGTAGTGTAATGTTAAATGGCTGACGAGTTATTCTATTTGCCTAGCATCCAACTTGCAGGTTCGGTGCCACATCAATGCTTTGACCTGCTAAGTTAGGAGCTATCTGTATGCAGTGTATTTCATGGATAGGGAGTTCATCTCTACCTTTACGAGATATTAGACAGATGAGCCCTCTTAACATCGGAAAAGGTAGCTAACCAGACATGCATACTACGTATCTTGAAGCACCATCGAGACGAATAGACTATGTAAAACTTAGAGATCCTAGAGATCCATCTGTTTGCATGACATTTTTATCGCCCGTCACATCCATGCGGCGTATAACGAAAGGGTTTCCATTACTGCTACAGTCGTACCTACTATACGTAAGGCGGCAAGGAGGACAGGAAGCTAGGGTAGCTACATGAACATTTGGACTAAAATTAAGAGTGTCGTGGAGAACGAGGCATGCAACTCTCCAAGGCCCGTTTTTGATTGGTTCCGTTGGCGCCCGTTGAGAAGTGACGGTTGAGAAATGGAGCCAAACTATTTGTTCACTTACCTTTTCAAGACACAAGCTACAGCCAACCGACATTCGATCATTTACACAAATAACGTTGAGCGTTGAGCACGAACGTCGCAGTAACACAAGTACGGATCTATATAAATGACAGTTATAACTAATAATACAAAGGATATATGTATCGTACCAGGCAAACAAACAGTTACAGCACAGCGTAAGACTGTCCGGTTATTTTTATCTTAAAGCGATCCAGCCAGTTGGGTATTACTGTCGTATAATATCCACCTGTCACCTTTCCCGGAGTTAAATCATAAATATTTTAATATCTTATTGGATCAGTTATGCATATCTACCCAAGCGATACTTTTGGTACAGCCGCTTTTAATACTAATCAAGCTCCGGTCTAAAAATCTTGAAACGAGTAAAAAAAAAAAAAAAAAAAAAAAACCAAATGCCCCAATTTCTTTCCCCGGACTTCTAACCTTCAAACAAGCCACAGACTCGTGCAGGTCCACAAGCTGCAGGTAAAATCGTGGGGGAAGGTGGCTCATACCCGGGGGGGTTTTAGCCACGTGATAGCTTAACCTTTCAGCCAATAACCATAAAGATATCATTGACGGTTTCCCGAACTTGGAGGATCAACCTCGGATCATCACATGCCTCAGCTTTGGTCGCTTTCAATCGTCACCAATGACGGAGTTATACAAGCTTATCCCAGTTCTTCTCCTCTATCTCAACTACCTCCCAGACATGTCAATAGCATTTACTTCCATACCAGAAATTCAAGCAATTTTATTATTCCTCTATTCCTCTCGCTCTGTCTAGAAGTCCCTTAGATCCCATCGCTGTAAATGGCACTCGGAATAGACTAATTACAGGCCGGTCCTTATTGATGTCATGTCACAATGGCGGTGCAATCCACGCTTCGCCATTCGGCGTCCGAAGACATACTCGTAGCCTTTCTCAACAAGTATAGCAAACTAATCCGAGATCGTCTACGGAAGACTTCCCGACGTTCCAAGCTCTTTGCAGCCCTCCTACTCGCCGCATCGATAATACTCAGTGCTGAAGGTGGTCGGAGATGGTGGAACCGGAGAAGGCAGGAGAAAGAGCAAGGACGGAAGCTTGTGCGCACGAATTCGTGGTTATTCAATAAAGATGGTTCGCGAACGATATACGTCCCGTATAAGGATGGGACGTCCAAAATAGTCATTAATCGGACAAAACCTTTGACCTTCGAAGCGCATCGTCGGCTCTTCCTGAACCCGCCCAAAGTTTCGGGACTTGGCGATGGAACCGTTCCTTCAGCTCAAACCAAACCAGGACTGAATCTTGCTTTCCTACATCAGTTTCTCAGCCTGATGAGTATCATGATACCGCGATGGACTAGCAAAGAGGCCGGGTTATTGGTCAGCCATGGCGCGTTTCTGATGCTTCGCACCTATCTTTCGTTGGTAGTTGCGCGCCTAGATGGTGAGATTGTTCGCGACTTAGTCGCAGGTAATGGAAAGTTATTCCTCTGGGGTATAGCAAAGGTATGCTACGATTCTACATCAAACTCGGTTTTGAATGTGTCACTGACTTGACAAAGTGGTGCGGGCTTGGTGGTTTTGCCTCCTATACCAATTCTATGATCAAATTCCTCGAGTCTAAAGTATCTATCGCATTCCGAACTCGATTGACAAGATATATTCACGACTTATATCTTAATGACAATCTCAACTACTATAAGCTATCCAACTTAGATGGCGGCGTCGGACAAGGAGCCGACCAATTCATTACACAAGATCTAACCCTCTTCTGCGCTTCAGCTGCCAATTTATATTCCTCACTTGGCAAACCATTCGTCGATCTCTGTGTTTTCAATTATCAATTATATCGCTCACTAGGTCCACTCGCTTTGACCCTTCTTATGAGCAACTACTTCCTTACAGCAAGTATTCTGCGAAAGGTGTCGCCTCCTTTTGGGAAGCTCAAAGCAGTTGAAGGACGCAAAGAGGGAGACTTTAGAAGTCTCCATGCTCGTTTAATCGCAAATGCCGAAGAAATCGCTTTCTATGGTGGTGCTGAAATGGAAAAGTCTTTCTTAAATAAGGAATTCAAATCCCTCAAAAATTGGATGGAAGGAATCTACCTGCTTAAGATTCGTTATAACATCCTCGAAGATTTCATCTTGAAATACAGCTGGAGCGCTTATGGTTATCTCTTGTCTTCTTTACCGGTCTTCCTCCCAGCTTGGGGCGGCTTAGGAGGCGCAATGGAGATGGTTGACAGCGCCGAAAAGGGTGGCCGAGAGCGAAATCGTATGAAGGAATTTATCACGAACAAGAGAATTATGCTCTCGCTCGCAGATGCGGGTGGGCGCATGATGTACTCAATTAAGGACCTTTCCGAACTGGCCGGTTACACTAGTCGTGTTTACACCCTAATTTCGACGCTACACCGTGTGCATGCCGACGCATACGCCCCGCGGCCAAGCGGTAACGAGCTATACTCGCTTTCCGACGTCCAGGGCACCATCCAGAAAGGTTTTGACGGTGTACGATTTGAGCATGTGCCTATCGTTGCGCCTGGGCTATGGCCTCAAGGTGGCGAGGAATTATTAGAGTCACTATCTATGATCATCCGCCGAGGAGAGCACTTGTTAATATCCGGTCCGAATGGTGTTGGAAAGAGTGCTATTGCTAGGGTTCTTGCTGGACTCTGGCCAGTTTACCGTGGTTTAGTGAGTCAGCCCAAGTCCATCGGTCAGGATGGAATTATGTTCTTGCCTCAGAGACCGTACTTGAGCGTGGGCACCTTGCGTGATCAGGTCATCTATCCCGATGGTGAGCTGGACATGCGCCTCAAGCGTAAATCCGAGGATGAACTAAAACGAGTGTTGGATGCTGCCAAGCTTGGCTACTTACCTGATCGAGAGGGCGGCTGGGATACTCGGAAGGAATGGAAAGATGTTCTGAGTGGCGGCGAGAAGCAAAGAATCGGCATTGCCCGGTTACTATACCACGAACCCCAATATGCTGTAATCGACGAGGGCACCAGTGCTGTGTCAAGCGACGTCGAGGGTCTATTATACGAAACATGCAAGGAAAGGGGCATTAGTAAGTCACGTGACAAATACCTCTTCTACTCATAACTAACAAAACGCAGCCTTGATTACCATCTCGACGCGTGCCTCTTTAAAGAAATACCATACCTTTAACCTCATGCTTGGGATGGGCGAGAGCGGCGATAAATGGGAATTCGAGCGGATTGGAACAGAGAGGGAGAAGATGCAGGTAGAACGGGAACTACAAGAGCTTCGCGAAAGGCTGTCTCAAGTTGAGCAGTGGAAGCAACGGCGTGAGGAGATTGACAAAGAGCTCGCACAAGTATGGGTCGAGGGCGATGCTTCTTTAGATCCGCCCCCGTATGTGGAAACTACTGCTGGGCCCGAGCCGGAGAAGGGTGAGGCCCAATGATACGATCTACTGGAGTCACGGTATTTCTGTTCCTGTACGATGTCATGTATGAGTTATTGTAACCAGAAACTTTACCTGGCGTACTGAGCGATCTCATCTTTGCTATATGTTGGATTGAAGTTATAGGTAACTTAGATCATATAAATGAAGACGTCAAGACGTTGGCTGGCGTTGACCTTGGGAGAATGTATAGCGGTTCGTTCAGCCATGTAAAAGGGTTCCTCTATATTATCGCGTCGTATCCTAAAGCATAAAAGGTCTATTACTACCAATGAAGCCCTTGGGTCACAGCTTGACGAGGTGGGACTCAAGTGTCGAAAGCCCCTTAGGACTGGCCCGTGAAGTCTGCCAGGGCCTTTCTGTCTAATTCAAATTTCCTATAAGCTCACTATACATGTAGGTAGTACAAATAAAAACCCAATGTGCGGACTATTAAATACGCCAGCTACTCATATATCCTGGTTCGTGCCCGGCTTTGCTTCTTCCTGTCCGTTAACCCATTTCAAGGCGTACACCTCTTGGATCAAGCGAAGGTCAAACTTAAAGGGGATTAAGGACTAGGTATAAGCCATCTGTAAAACATCAACGCAAAATAGTTTCTATGTATCGATCTATTTATCTATTTCGTCGCCCACGTAGTTGTATATGTACCTTAAGTAGGTACCTACCCAAGGTAGTCGGCGCCGTCTTTAGATCTCGCTACATCCACTACATCATAGGTTTCTATACTTCTGGTTTGACATGAAAGGTTAGGTACCTTGGTAAATATTTTTAGGGGTCGAGTCGAGTTTAGAATAGGTACCTGTTAAATGTAGGTACCTTCCCAGAACCCGAAGTAAACAGTTTGCCTGTCTACTCTGCCAGTCGCTGCACCAACCTGCCGGCCGCCTTAGTTGCCTAGGCCACCCACCATACTGAAGGATATAAGGCTAAAAATCAAAGCAACTTTCAGCCGACCCCGTAAAAAGGAAGTAACCCTGGGTGACTGGAGGCTAGAGAAAACTGCACCGTGGTGTCATATGCTGGACCGGTATGCCCGTGACTTGACAGTACGATGCTTACAAAGTAGTTTTTCGTAGGTCCTGGATTCAACATCCAGTACCGAGCTTTTTTTGCATTTCTTTTTTCTTTTATTTCTGACTCCTACGTACATCCTTTTCATTTTTTATTTTCTCCCCTTCGAGTTTTTCTTTTTTTTCTTTTTTTACTTGACCTCCTTTATTTTTTGGGTGGGAGATTTATGCGAAAACGTAAACACGAAATAGCCTGCATTGCCAGTCAACGTAAATTGATTCTTAGGAAAATGATTTATTCCCTTGTATATCATACTTAAACCCGGTTTTTACAATTCACAGAAACGTAGGAGATAGTATTTAAATCGTCAGCCCCGTCTACCCCTTTCTTAGCCTTATAGTCAGTCCCCGTTGATCACACGGGAAAGGCCACAGTAAAGTTCGAATAGCTTATCGAGTTACTTTCATGTCTCATATGCAGGTACGTAATGCAATTCAATTATTCGAATTTTATTCAAAACAAAGAACACTCGAGCCTAAGCTCTAGACAATGTTGGACGTGGGAATACGTAGTCCGGGGCTATAGAGGCGTGAGCGAATCGGCTGGAAACCCAGCCAAATGTGGATTTTCGCCAGAGCAGGAAGGCATCGTGATGTTGTATGTAGTGTTTCTACGAAACATCCTCTACTATCTGATCTTACAACTCCATTTGTATCATGATCGACGCATATAGTGGGGCTTCTATGATTACTTCGCCGCAAAACCACATCGTAATGCTGAACACAGCCTCAAAACACCTGGTTCACGCCACTTCGATTAACGTATAGTTGAACCTTTTCTCATTTATTTTAAACATCTCGTAAGTTCTTATAAATAAGTTTACCGGTGTTCACATTGTCGTCAACAAAGCCTTAACTGAAGGATCACAACATGACAGGGCGTCTTCCAACTTCATCGGAGAAAGCGTGGCGGGATGACCCCAGCGACGAGCCGCCGGCATACAAATCAAGCAAGTTTCAGTCGAACAAAGCTAGAGACGATCTCCCATCGTACCAGGAAGTTGTTGGGGATGATCGGGACGAAAGGAGTTATAAGAATGATAAGAAACCTACAAGTGCCAAATCGAAGAATAACCAAGACCTTCCGCCTTGTAGCCACTGGTCGGAAAGCGGGTGTAATATGACTGCCAACTCTAGACAATGCTGCTCTTGTGTCGACGACCGGCCTAAAACGGAGTCCGGACTCTATCCGATGTACGTGGATCACGAAGGCTGGGTTGAAAAGGCTACTAGGTGGAAGTATTACTGCCCGAGCTGTCAAGGTACGTCTAACTAATTTCCTTGCTACTGAAGTTCGCATACGATCTGCTAGGAACTCATATTATTCTTCGTATTTATTCCATCAACTAACTCCGAGTAGAATATTTCGACCCGGATGCTAAAGCAAGAAGTTTGAGAGACCAGTGTGCTTGGGCGGAGAAACGCGCACAGTCTTTGGCTGATGAGCGGGACCGACGATATTTCGGTCTCGGGCGCTGGATACATGTCTGCAGCGAGTCGATAAAAAGCTGCTTGCCAGAGTAGTCGATCGTAATACCCTGGTGGTCGAGAATGCCCGATTGGAGAAGCACTTCCCAAGATAGTTTAAAGAATAGCAAATCAGTATCGTCAATATACCCTATATGTATGTACCTATTTAAAATTACGCAATTTCGATGCAAACCTTCCCCTGGTGCTTCCCTGAGGCTAGATATTCGTATGCCTCCTTCGTCTGTTCTAGTGTAAAGATCTTAGAGTCGACAATAGGGCGCAACTTGTCTATGTTGGCCTCGATAGCGCGGCACATATCTTCCATCTGAAGCCGAGTGCCGAGCCATAGGCCACGAGCCGTGAATAGTTTCATCCAGCAATCTAGCAAGACGGGCATCTCCGTAGCCCCGTCACCGCCGCCAACACCTCCCAAGACGCAGACCACGCCGTCGTGTTTTACAGCTGCGACGCTCTGCTTCAGCGAAGTCGGCCCCACGACATCGATAACATAGTCGACGCCCAATCCTCCGGTAATCTCCCTGGCTACGGAGGCCCAGTCAGGGGTCTCGCGATAGTTTATAATACGGTCAGCACCCAACTTCTCAAGAAGCCTCGCCTTCTCGGACGAGCTCGTCGTCGCGATAACCCTGGCACCTACGAGCTTAGCGAACTGGACGGCGAAGATGCTCACCCCACCGGTGCCTTGCGTCAACACCCACTGGCCGGCAGCAACTGGTTTCCCAGCTAGGCCGAAGAGCGCATTCCAGGCCGTTAGTCCCGCGCAGCTAAGCGTCGCCGCCTCCGGGAAAGTTAGGCCCTCGGGCATCGAGACAAGGCCTTGCTCGTCGAAAACCCCGGCAGTGCGTAGGGTACCGTCGACCGAGGCGCCGAGCCCAACTTTTGATAGTTCTTCGGTGAACGATCCCGCGATCAGCCGAGGGTTGAGCGCGGTGATGACCTTGTCGCCTGGCCGGAACCGACTGACATGCTTCCCGACAGCTACGACGATTCCTGCTCCGTCGGAGCCAGGAATGACGTTTGGTTTGGTGCCCCAAGGGAATTTCCCCTGGGAGACCATAATGTCCCGAAACTAGCTTTGAGGTTAGTCTTGTGAGTGGAAGGTAGGTAGGTAAATATGTGAACCGACATTTAAAGAGGCCCCATGAACTAGGTATTGCCAATAATTAGTAAAAGCACAGATAAAAGCATCGACCCAGTCTGCTAGACACTCACTTCTAACTAAGACTTCGGTATCTCCGAGTTCAGGCACTGGCTGCTCTGAATATTTCAGGGATTCAAGGCCATCGTAGCCTACGACGTTCCACTGCTTCGCGGTCTTTAGGACGGGCTGGGCCATTGTGAGATGTGAAATATATCGGTAATGAATACGTACTTACTGCACACTAGATTAATGTTTGGAATCTACATGATAGGCAAACTGGTGTTCGATAAATATATATATATACTGAGAAGCTAAAAGGGGTCTATATGGCATTATATAAGCGTACGCGACTGAGAGACGTTTAGGTAATATTTAAATTTATAAGCATATCCGTGGAGTTCCGTGGATCACACCATCAATTGTAGGTAAAATCACATCATGGTCAAACTCATACCGATTTATAAATAAGGCGATTTCATACTCCCTAAGTCAGTGAGGAGTACAAAGTCGTCATACTGAGTACCTAATGAAGGCATGTTATGGAAAAGGGGGCTGCATATTGAATCCCGACAACTGCATAATATACATACTGCTTCGCATAGCCAAATATATTCTTGTATCTGTATCTGATAACTAATCGAGTTATATCAATCTACGGAGAATTGAAGAGAGAAATGACAAACGAAATCTTGACAACTTCAAACGTCATTATCTTTGACTCAGCTTGGCTGTTAGAAATACATTTTACTATAACTCTTGATAAGATAGCATTTCTCTCTCGTTACAGCTAGCCTGTCCGAGATCAATACCGAGAAGACCCTGTCGCATGTTACATCAAAGCAACCTTTGCTCCATTATGTTTATACGTCTATACGTCTAGACAGTTATGATCATCCACCTCCAACTACTTGACTGGAGAGATGTTGCGATACAGAGCCGTTTCTACGTACGTACCAACGAGCACTTACACGGAGGTCGAGGGTAGCAACAGAATCATATATGGGTTGGCCATGAACCTCCTCTAATCTGATTGGGTGATACACCCCAGCTCTATGCAGCGCGACGAGTGGGCAGATCGTATTATCAAACCGAGATTGTCTTATCTTACTTATCTCTTCAATTCACATTTCAGCCAGGGATCAAGATTCAGTTGCATCTGGGCTGACGGACATATGTACAAGAATGAAGCGTGCCACTGCATCTGCACAGAATTGCATATGCCCGCAATGGACGATTCGATGTCACTTATCTGATTCTGAGCAACCCCCCAACCTATATACTCTCTACTTTGTTACTTGTCTCTTTCTATAAAGCAAAGACTTGCCGCTCATTCCTTCAGCCAGTTTTGTTATTATAAAAGTCGAAGAGGATCTATACGTTAGATTAGGTACATTTTGAGAATCCAGGGTATCGGAGTCATAGGAGCAAGCAAGCATGACGGAGAATACACATACTTTTGACGAGGAAAAGAAGCCCGAACTGGGGGGCTTGGATAACGATACAGTTGCCGCCGTCGACCACGGCATACAAGTCAATGCCGCGGGGTATAGAGATCAGCTGAAGCGTCAATATGGTCTTCTCGGGATCGTCGGGTTTGCCCTTACCGTTGATAACGCCTGGGCGGCTTTGGGATCTTCGATATCTGTTTCAATTCGTAAGTAAAGCCTTACTTACAGCTGGACGCTAGATTTATTTTTTCATCTTTTCATCTTTTTCATTTTTTCATTTTTTATACTTGATGTCGAACTAACGCGAGCTTGACTGTCGACAGTGAGTGGGGGACCTCCAGGTCTGATTTTTGGCCTCCTTGTTGCTTTATTTTGGTATTCCTTTATAGGTATGAGTCTGGCCGAGGTATGTTGTCCTCCAATTTCCTCTCGCAGAAACCCAACAGGTCTGAGAAAGTCACGAGAAATTAACTTGGATGCTGACTTCTCTTGAAGCTTGCTTCGTCAGTTCCCACCGCCGGCGGTGTGTATCATTGGGCAACCATCGCAGCTGGACCAAACTGGGGTCGAACTGTCGGGTTCTTTACAGGCTGGATCAACTTTTATGGCTGGATGTTTGACTTGGCAGCCCTGATTCAAATAACCTCCAATATTCTCGTTCAGATGTACGCGGTTTACCACCAGGACACTTATGTTCCGGATTCCTGGCACGTCTACGTCACGTTCATTGGTGTCCTATGGACTTCAACCTTGTTCGTCATTTTTGCGAATAGGCTCATCCCGTATACCCAGAATTTCGGAATGTTCCTTGTCATGGTCGGAGGTGTCGTGACGATTATTGTGATTTCGGCTATGAATCCAGGTTCTCACGCCTCTAACCATTTCGTGTGGGGTTCGTTCGAAGAAAACAACTGTGAGTACCATTAAAAACATAACCCTACTCCTCAAGCCTCAAAAACCCTTCGAGCTCATAGATATTGACCGTAAATTCGGCTTCTTCTCGACATCTTCTCTACGATTTTATTACGTTACTAACTCCGATATGATAGTGACGGGTTGGCAAGGTGGTGTTGCATTCCTGCTAGGAGTGCTGAACGGCGCGTTCACGATTGGCACGCCTGATGCCATTACTCATATAGCAGAAGAACTTCCACATCCAAGAAGAGATCTCCCGAAAGCCATGGGGCTTCAGATAGGTTTAGGTTTCCTGTACGCGTTTGTTTTCGCTATCGCGCTCAGCTACGCCATTACAGACCTCTCGGCGTTGCAAGGTGGCATCAATACTTATCCTCTTGCTGTCATATATCAGCAAGCAACAGGAAGCTCAGGGGCGACCTTCGGCCTCTTATTCATCCTGTTTCTCACCAGCATGTGCTGCTGTGTTGGAACGGTATTGACGAACTCACGCACGTACTGGGCACTGGCTCGAGACAATGCCGTGCCATTCTCTGGGATATTCGGCAGGGTTAATGAAGGGCTTAGCTGTCCCATATACGCAACCCTGTTCGTTTCTGTCGTCGCCACTGGTCTTGGTGCAATCCCCTTGGGAAGCTCGAGCGCATTCTTGGCTCTAACCGGCTCTTTCATCGTTTTAACGACAGTGTCATACGCAATTCCGTTTACTGCTAACATGATTACCGGACGAAAATACTTTCCCGCAGGGCCTTTCCACATGGGTAAATTTGGAAATGCAGTGAACTTAGTAGCTGTTTTGCTTATAGCGATGTTTGTCATATTATTTTGCTTCCGTAAGCTACCCTTATCCCTCGTGTAAGTTGAGTTGCTAACTTCTTTTCGTAGCGTATGAGATACCTACAACCGTTGAGGCTATGAATTACAATAGCGTGATTCTTGTTGGAACTCTAACACTTTCGTCGATATGGTGGATTGTACATGGAACTCGGCATTATCCGGGGCCTAAGGTGATGAAGCTATATATTCATGATGACTTGGTTCACGCGAATAATGCAGGAGTAGTCGAGAAGTCTGATACGTAAATACATAACAGGGGTAATTTAATAACTAAGAATTCGCAATAGGGAACTTGGAGTATTAAAATAAGACGAAAGATTGGCGGTCGAAACCGACTCAGTTATTCTTGACTCGGACTATTCACTCACTGATACCATGAGCTTTGGGTTTTACACTAAAGAATTCCGAATATGGGAATGCGCTTAGGCGATGTATCAGCTCTCGGAAGCAGCTACAAGTAGAACTAGCTTGCGGGCTCAGGTTGCGGTTTATGTTCGAATTAGAAGTCTCGGAGAGCGTTGCGCCGACCTCATCGCGTCCCAATTGGGGAAGCCCCAGCGAGCCTCTTAAGTCTCGCTCCGCGATTCAACCCATTCTTATTCTAGTCTTTTTAAGACTGGATCTTTTTCAGGTCGATTGCGACAAGGATCTTAGGATATGGCCCCAGAGATTAACTCAGCCATCATTATCAAAAGCAGGTAGTTACTCATTTCCAGATCTTCATATTCTAATTACTAGTAGATAGATACATCGGTCGTATAGGACCCTGATGTGTATCTGGCTTTTTATAATTCCGTACCTGACTTTGCCGTGTGGGGAATCCATGGGGTGATGTTCGTACGTGGTGCCTCGATCGCTCGTTGCATTGCATCCGCAGAGATGGACCTATGTAGTTCTAGGCCGTCAAGATGATTGGAGGTGCCATCCATACAATTAAAATAGCCTTTCTCCATACGTATGGATGGAGCACGTCGATCCGCCTTGATCGATAGCTTGCCAATACAGGCTTCGCCCGTGATGCCTGGATATCGAATGGGCAGACTACGCATATGTATTTCGTGGTTGCTCTAAGTATACATATATGTAGCTCAAGCCGCTTCTTTGTTAGAAATTATTCACGATACTTGCTACTTCGTATTCAACTCACAGGTCAACTCACTCAAGATGAAATATCTCATACCCGGACTTCTTTCCCTCGCCAGCGCTGTCTCAGCTGAGGGGCAACTCTGGGGACAATGCGGTGGCCAAGGCTTCACGGGACAGACGGCTTGTCCTTCGGGCTCTACTTGTCAAGTCTCGAATCAATGGTATTCACAATGCGTACCTGGTAAGGACGGCGAGAAGTAGGCATAATACATAGAGTACTAACACACATTTAGGAACCGACTCGGCGAACAGCGCATCGAAAGTAACCGCCAGTCCCACCAACGCTGCTTCTCCCGCAGCATCAGGCTTCGCAAAGACGGACGGTCTGCTCTTCAATATCGACGGCGAAACTAAGTACTACGCGGGCACAAACAGCTACTGGGTCAGCTTCCTGACCAATAACGCCGACGTCGATACGACGTTCGACCAGCTCAAGTCGGCAGGCCACAAAATCCTGCGCGTCTGGGGCTTCAACGATGTCACGTCTCAGCCAGGGTCCGGCACGGTCTACTTCCAATACCTATCGGCAAGAGGCTCGACTATCAACACGGGAGCCAACGGCCTGCAGCGCCTCGACTACGTAGTCTCGGCCGCCGAGAAGCGCGGCATCAAGTTGATTATTAACTTCGTTAACAACTGGGGCGACTATGGTGGGATGGCAGCTGTAAGTCGTTCTTATTGAACATTTAAATCTCACGTTGTTCCTTTTCCCTTGAAAACGACCTCGTAGATCTGATCTAGGTAGCAGCAGCGAGGTCGAATACCTATTAGATCTTTATTCAAATATATATATATAAGACGACAACTGACCTCGCGCTCTAGTACGTAACAGCCTTCGGCGGCTCCCAACAAACCTGGTACACCAACACCGCAGCACAGGACCAATACCGCGCGTACATCAAAGCGGTGGTATCGCGATACGCCAACTCCTCCACGGTATTCGCCTGGGAACTAGCCAACGAGCCGCGCTGCAACGGCTGCGAGACCAGCGTGCTAACCAGCTGGGCGAAGTCGACCTCGGCCTACGTCAAGAGCCTCGACCCCAACCACATGGTGACTCTCGGCGACGAGGGCTTCGGCCTCAGCGGCGACGGCAGCTATCCCTACCAGTTCGGCGAGGGCCTCGACTTCGCTGCGAACCTGAAGATCGACACGCTGGACTTCGCCACGTTCCATTTATACCCGAGCACCTGGGGCACGCAGAACGAGTGGGGGAACGCGTGGATCGAGGCCCACGGCGCGGCTTGTGCGGCGGCGGGGAAGCCTTGCTTGTTTGAGGAATGTGAGTATACACTACCTACCTAACTAGTCCGTCCCTATATAATTATCAATCAGACACTAACTTTCGAGGTAGATGGATCCACGACCGACCACTGCGGCGTCGAGGGCAAGTGGCAGAATACCGCGCTCTCGACGAAGGGCCTGGCGGCAGACCTGTTCTGGCAGCTGGGGACCACGCTGAGCACAGGGCAGACGCACAATGACGGATACACTATTTACACTGGTTCGTCGGAGTGGACTTGCCTGGTTACGAACCATGTCGCCGCTATTAAATAGCTGCGTGGGATATTGTCATTAGTATTGGTTAATTAGTTGGAGACTGTAATATAAATACTGGTCGATGCAAAGAGCTTGCCTTGCAGACGTGAATATTCTACATACTTACCTAAAGAACCGTTATGTTTCTGTGTAGTTATTAATAATGTCTTAGATATCGTATGTATACTGTCCAACAGGGAGCAACATCAAGGGACATAACCACAAGACTTTCCCGGTAAGACCCGTCGTAGTTTGATATTGAAGAAGAGATTACGATGGTAAACCCCTATAGTGTTTAATTATTAAACGCCGCCATGAGCTTCCAGCCAATGTATACCGCTCTAGCAAACAAAGGATATCATTATGGAACGCCGATTGTTGCCCAACCCAATGCTATTCATACCGTCGTCAATGCTTCTTTGAATCATGTGCTGTATGGCCATTTTGAATTGCCATTGTCAGAGGGAAATTGCAAGTATTTAGGATAGCCATGAGAATTAATTAGGTATACGAATTATCACGAAGTTGCAGTTGAAAACGAGACGTTCTTTAAACTAAACCGCTAATTAACGAAACCCACCTAATGCAGCTAAAAACGGGAGCTAATTAGTAAGACCTGCAAGGCCGCTCCTTATCTAATCCGTAAACCTCGTGCGACGTCCCGGAGTTTCCGGGTTAATTACATATGTGGTAGATATCCGCCGCGCCTTCACCTCCGACATCAACCTACCTACCTACAACCCACCACACCACCATGCCCTCCAACGAACACACCTCACTCCTCAACCCCAGCACCACAACCACAACCACAACCCGCCGCCACCCCCGCAATAACACCATGTACTGGACCCTAGCCTGCATCTACGGCGCATCCGCCGTCGGCCTCGGCGCCTTCGGCGCCCACGGCCTGAAGAAGCTCATCTCGGACCCCACCAAAGTCGCCAACTGGGCCACCGCCGCCCACTACCAGCTCGTGCACTCCGTCGCCCTGCTCCTCGCCGCCCAGGCCCAGAACCCCGTCTCCGGCCTCCTGTTTACCACCGGCATGACCTTCTTCAGCGGGAGCTTGTACCTGCTCGTGCTGAACCCGGCGCGCTTCCGGTTCCTCGGCCCCGTGACGCCGCTTGGTGGGCTGTGTTGTGCGTTTTTCTTTTTCTTTTTTCTCCCTTTCCCCCCTTATTTACTACAATACCATACCTAAAGCTTAAAGGTTGGTTGGTCTATCTGGAAGTATATGCTGACTTCCGTCTGCGCGCGAGCAGTGATTGGCGGCTGGGTTGCGCTTGCGCTAAAGTAAAGAGAGGGGCTAAGACGCCTCGTATACCCCGCCCGTTTCGGCTCATGATGCTGTAGTCTTTTGCGAGAGGGTGGTCGCAGGAGGAAGAGTAGTTACGGGTAGCCGGGCTGCCTGTATGAGTGTGATCTCGTTGTAGACGTAACGGCCACCCCCAAATAACTAGCATCGCCACTCCGTATGAGCAAGAATCTACCTTTTGTTGCACATCTCTCCTATACCCAAGAGTTGATTGTGAAGTTACACATCTGTTACCCGCTAAAATTCAACTCATAGACTTCACGCCGTTTGGAAAACTTACGCAACGCGATTTTTACCTTGAGGTATTCCTCTTAAACTATCCGTATACTTACAGACGGTCCCAATAATCCTTGCCATTAGCAAAACGTTATTCACACCGCAATGTGGAAATTCATATTTATCACTACAATGAGCTATCCTTAGTACCTAGGTTAAGCAGCTAAGCAAGAATCATAGCAAACCAATCTTTGGTAAACGGGCACCTCGAAGGTCGTGGTATCTTTTGGTTGTAGTCATAAGAAACAAAGCCAGGCCCGGCTCTCGTCGCCTTGCTTCCCTTAAACGACGTTGGTTTGCTTGTTGTGATATAGGCCAACGCGCCAGTCTCCTATATATTCTCCCGCTCCTTATACCTGCCACATTCCTAGACGCATCTTCAATAGGTCCTGCTGCGACTCCATTTCGCATTGCCTCTCCTTTAGGGTTGATACGCACTACGCATCACCACTAGATATTGCGGCTATTGCTTGGAACCCAGCTAGAACTTCTTTGTCGACATTAATAGCCCAATTATCCCGGAAAGCTTGCTCTCCGCCACTTCTCTGTACCAGATCGTTGAGTTTATCTTTCACAAATGGGAGAGACTGGACTGTCTTCACTGGGTCGGCCGCAAACAAAGCCCTCTCTCTCACATCCTTTGCCGTGTCCCATTCGGTGGGCTCCGGCTTGTTAGTGATGACGAGCATATCATTGCCGATAGTAGGTGGCTCAGCACTTATAATCTGGACCATGACGCTGGTCCACATTGAAAAATAATCCTGGAGTTTGAGCAGGACAAGATCCTGCATCGGTTGGTGAAGCTCAAGAAGCCGTGTTAGAGCTAAAAGGTTAAGTTTGTGCCGATTGTTATCAGCTATGCTATCAAACGAACCAAACCACTCGGCACTGAGCCAATTCCAAACTTGATCTAAGGGGCCAAGTGAGGCGAGCATCTCCACGAACATAGCTGGATCGATCACGGCAATTCGAGATAGAATCACGAAGTACTCTACTAGGGTTTGAGAGCCCACACGGCTTTGTTTCTTTTTGGGCCCAGATGTTTGGTGGGCTTCAAAGGAGTCATGTATGCCTTCCAAGATCGTAGGTAGGAAGCCTACCCCCATCATATCCTGAATAATTACTTGTAGTCCGGACGTGCCACCTAACTCATGAGATAATCGTATTAACGATTCGGCGTATCGTATGGTGATGTTCACTAGCTCGCGATTCTTCGAACCAAGCGAACTAGAGAGAGCAGCGAGAGCAGGTCGTCTATATCGATCTTCAAGAATGACCTCTGGTGCGAGTAGAACGTAGCAGCCGAGAATGCCTGTGTATGTAAAAGCATAGTCATTCTGCTTTGAGAGTTCATTGATGGCAGTTTCAGCCAGATTGGTGAGCCCCGATGACAAGGGAGGCTGGCTTTGGTATAAGAGATTGGACCACAGGTCTAGTGCTTCTTCGATGAGGTACAAATATAGCTCTGTGCCTTCTCTTGTAGCCTCGGATATAAGTGGTAAAATCATAGGTTGATATCTCTGAGATTCTGTTTTCATGGACATCACCACTGCTTGTATAATGGCCAAAACTGATTGCTTCATCATGAAACCCAGGTCACCCGCAGACTCCCAAATCCCGGGTATTGCATTCATTACCATGTCGCCGAAACTAGACACATGCGTTTCCATGCGCTGTATAAGACTCCGTGTTGACTCAAGTATCGCCAACTTAGTCTCGTCAACCTCTGCTTCTTCTAATAGCTTGATGAGCCGCATAAGCACATCAGGAGCGTATGGAGAGAACAGATGTCCTTCAAATCCTAATTCATCAAAGATAGTCTTAAATTGTCTCGCAGTGGTAATACGAACAACAATGTCGTTGCATGCATCTTCGGGGTTGAGGAAATGTCGGAATATTTCGTAAACAAGTGGACGGGCTTCTCCTGATATTTTGACGGGCACCCATTGACTTAAAAGTATGGCAATTCTTCGCCTGATGACTCGGGCTAATGGACCCTCCTGCTGAGCATCGGCTGCTATTGTCGTTTTCAGCATATTTTCGAAGTCAAACTCTTGGCTGACCAAGGGGGCAGCTAGTCCCATAGCAGTATAAACTGCTTCTTTAGTAACGATATCCGCTTGCGGGTTTTGAACGGTACTGAAATATGATATGAGGGGCTGTAGGAGGAGATGTTTATAATGTGTGAGGAGATCCAAGAATAACTTCTCCGCGCAAGGCCTCACTTCCCATTCGTAGGCGTTACCTTCGGCTTCTTCTTGCTGCTCCCATTCCTGCGGGTCTTCATCCCATGCATCTAGATCCGCCTTGCGAAATATGAAAAAGTGAGTGATTAAGACGTTTGCTATTTGGGTGACGATTTCATCTTTGAGCAATTCGGCACCTAGAAATTTGACTGCGTGTTGTTGTTCATCTATGATATCCTTTGAACGATAACGGATCGTCTGCTGGGGAAAGTGGACTATCCTTACACACTGTCTTACTAGAAGCAGCCCCTTCAATGCTAGCCTCTCCAGAAGGGGCCCTTCAGCTTTAGCCTTAGGCTGTCCTGATCCCGATGTCTCTTGTCGTATTCCATCCGACTTGTTGAACACTTCTGCAAATTTAGCGGTGAGGTCCCAATATGCACGGACAAGATCTAGAGAATTTGGAAGAGAGGCAAAGCTTGCAGGATGGGTTGTAGCCATCTCATTATGGAGCTTTGTGAATTGCATAAGGTGTTTCCCTAAGAGATCGGCATAGCGCGCTATCTTTCGCGAATCACTGTTGATGAAGCTGAGAAATTGTGCAAACTGCACTTGAGAGAAGCTCCAGACTTGTTGGACAGTTTTGTCCTTGTGTGGATACTCATAACCAACTATCAAGAGGCGACGGAGACTCTTGATAGCGTCAAGGCTATTTTCCATCGCGAGTAAAGCCTCATCTCCGTCTTCATTTTCACGCCCGTTGGTTAAGAAAGCTATCCACAGATTACTCTTATCATGATATATTTCGCCAAGAATATATACGAGTTCTGGTGTGATGGACTGGAGCATGGTCTGCGACTTACGCAGACGCGCTGTCCCGAGTTCCTTCACTATTCGCAGAAGTATCATCAAGGCCCCCGAGAGCTCAACCTGATCGCCATCCTTAGTCGCTCTAAGGAGCTGGGTAAGGTCGTTTAAGGGGGTAGGCCAGGCTGTTGGAAAGTCGGTGCGGACCACCTTCGCAATGACGAGCGCATTGTGTAGAGCAAGCTGTTTATCACCTTCACTAGTAGTCCCTCGGAAAAGCCTCTCTCGTATTACTTGTTTCGCAGCTGCTGGGATGGCGTTTTGGACGTTCTGGAGCCGCCAGAATCGATCGACGCCGTTTTTAAGTTGAATGATTGCGAGAAACCTGACATTTAGGGGCGCACTCTTGTCGAGGAAAATAGACTATTGAAATGAGGGTCGTTAGCGTTAAATAGCTGTGTTCAAAGTGGAAATCATATACCTGTAAAGTTGGGTAGTATTCTGGGTCAGACTCCCAAGCAGTAAGCTGCTGGCCAGCAGCCTGACGGCGGCTGTTGTCGTGTGACGATGATGCAGTTTGGAGAGTACAGAGGAGCTCGTGGAAATTTAGGGGCGTGGCCGCACCTGGAACCTCTATAGCGAAGTTCATTTTGATGGTGTTACGATCTGTGCATGTCGTGTGGTGTATATAGAGAGTAAAAGTAGCATTTGTCTTCAAGATGATTATGTGTTAGTGAATCGTAAGGGATGAAAGTGAAGTGGGATGAATTGTTAGTTGTTGCCAGTTGGTGGGGTAATTTTTTTAGACAGGGACAAGGAGAGAAGGTTCGACGTAGGTACCCACTCCGTCAAAGAGCTATTGTGGGTATGAGGCAGGTACGATACGTATTAGGATTCACCGCCGGTGATCGCGTAGTGCAGAAGGCGCAGCCGCGCAGTGCATACATAGGAAGTACCTAACATATGAGGTATGTACCTATGTCAGGTACGTGACATGCGCTTAAGCATCAACACATACGAACCTTAGACACATGCAGGTAACCTTAAAAAGTTCATATATACATGTATAGGTTAGGTATAGGTTAGGTATACTTTAATGCATTATGTATGAATTAATAAACGAAGCTATTAGTCATTGCTAACTAGATTTCTTAAACGTCGTACCTATGTCTATCAAGTAGTAGAGTCATAACTTGTAACAACTTATAGGTAGACTATCCCCCAAACTGGCATAAAACAGCAAACCTTTTATAATCGGTAGAGTACGTTAAGTTCAACGCGATTTATTAACATAAGAAAAAAAAACCATTGCAATATGCCTCTAAAACAAATATGATTGGCCAATCAAATAATATAGAGCCAATCTATTTTCCTTAGGAAATCTCAATGTATTGATACCGAAAATAATGGGTTTGCTGTTTTATGCCAGTTTGGGGGATACTAAAATAGGGGTGAATGGCTTACTGGAGGTATAACACGACCAACGCCGGCCAGTGTGTCATTATAATTTGTCGTTACTTTTGGGATATGGGAAATCTTCGTAAAAGCCTACACTTCTTGCTCTGATCCCATAGTCTTTCCTGATTCCCACAGGATGCATATATATAGGTATTTAAGCCTTGACCCAACATATCCGTTTGGGTCGGGTTGAGCCTCTCTCCCCCGGTCGTAACTCCTGAACCATCATTTTTTCCATCGCCAAATTTCCAAGTTCCGGTGCCGTGCCATGCCATCTAGTTAAAGGTAGGCAGGAGAAAAGAAGAAGAAAACCACGTATCGTCATCTCACCCTGATCTTTGAGAGGTAGGTATTATCATTTAGGCTTGATATATATCCGTAAGGCTGGGCCAGTTTTCGTTTAAAGCCCAACCCTCAACCGGGTAAGGCTGGTGATATGGCTCAAACCCATAGTTAGCAACTAGAGGTGCCTCGCTCAAGAGGGCGCTCGATACCGCAGCCCATGCTTCTGATTCTGTAATCCCCGGTCGCCAGCTCTGACTTATTCTCGGGGTTAGGTATTCCTTCGCGACGGTCTTAACGTCATCCGCGATTTTCCTGGAGAGGGGCCACGTCTCCCCATGTGTTGTGAGTATTTGTACGAGCATGTTAATTCGTTCTCGAAAGACGGGGGAGTCTAATCCGAGGAATACACATGCATCGAGGTAAGCTAAAGCCACCCGCAGTGTCCCTATCGCGAATACTGAACGCAGACACTTCGTAGGGAAAGAATGCCGAAATAGATCGCAATAATGATTAGCGGCTTGGATATCAATCGGGTGAGGATTCCAGCCGAAGCCTTTCACTATTTGCCCCTTACGATCGGGACCCTTGGCAGGACCTAGTGGAAAATAATCTCGTATGTTGAGACCAGTTCTAGGGGAGGCTTGTCTGAGCCAAAGTCGGTTACTGAATTTCTTATACGTCAACAGATGGTCTACGGCAATCCACAATACTAACTAATACTTACACATGTGCCATGGCAACGCCATGGTAGAGTATTACGTCAACTACACCATCTGGATCGACCAAATTCATCTTCCACTTCGGAACACGCCGTAACCAATCGCATATCCGAGAGTCTGCACGCTGGAATATCTCTGGCTTTTTGTCTTCTGGCGCTTCGTTATGTGGCAGGACTAAATCTGTCTGAATCTTACAGATATCAATGAGATAAGCCATTGAAGAAAAGTCGGATTGACCCAAGCTGACTCGTGACTCGTATTGCGATTGGGAGATAGGCTGAGGTATAATCTGGGGAATACGTTAGGCATGAATAACGATATATGTTCTTTGACCTATGGGCTATGCTGGGTACGACGTTGAAGCCCCAGCTCTCGGCAGTCGGCAGGCTTGGTGACAAGGAAAAGGAAGCACTTACCCCTGATTCATATTCCCATTCTTCACATGGCAAATCCACATCGGACTCCACATCTGCAATAGAAAGCGTAGAGCCGACATCGCATAGAGCCCGTTCGGAATCCTGGAAGGTCAAGCACCACCACGTTCTTCGATAGCTTTCGGCAAGCACCGAATCAGATGCTGCGTCGGCAAATGTCTTATGGTTCATGCCAATATCAACGGCTATTGTGACCGCCCTATTAGCCCAACCGGCGTGGTGTTCGAATTTCATCATCCCGTAAGCAGCAATACTCAGGATGAGCAGCCCCTGCACCGACTGCACCGTAAAAGGTAGTGACCCACATGCTGCGGAACAAGCGGCTTCTAATAAGTCATCGGAGGAGACTTGATTTGTGTAAAGCGATCCGCAGAAATTTAGGACCAAGAGCAAGAAGTGATAGGCGTCTGGATCGGATTCGACGTGATTAAAGAAAAACCTTTTAGGGGGGAGACAAGGGTAGCTTGGGTGAAAGTGGCTGTAGAATAAGTCGAGCAATAACTCCTTTTCGTTTTGAGGCGAGGTGGACGCCTGCGATTCCGAACTGACGGACCAACCGCTCGGCAACTCACGAGGGGATCGAACCGACGGCAGGCCTGAAGAAAAATTCGACGTTGAGAAGAAGTTTCCTGCCGAAGTCGCCGGTGGCTTATCAGATATAAGACTTCTCTTTTTGGGGTCCCGGATGCCTCGTCTCGACTTTGCATAAAAGCACGGCTTGTCTTCTTGTTGGCAACGGTTACAAGCCGGTAGCGTGGCATCGCATTTGACGTGCTTGCTTCGGCATTGAACGCAGGCGAGCGATACGCGTATATTTGCCTTAGACCGATTGGCGGCCTTGGGCTCCGAGCCGTCGGGCGACGAAACCGTGGACCCTTGCCGACTGAGGCTTCCGGCCCTCTCCTCATCCCGACTCATCACCATGAGAGCGTCGGGTGGGGGGTTACTTAAGCAAGAAATTAGTGAAATTGTGTAAAGATCGCCGTTAAACTTGCCGGTATAAGCCTATAAGATAAATGAATTATCGTTCGTGCCCGACGGAGAGGATTATGTTTTAAGAAATGCGCCCAGAATGCACCATAAGCACGGTCGATGAACGGTAGGGTCGATGAGCGGACTTCTCATATATGAGCCGAAAGCAAAGCCTCACATTTAGTTCTGACAAAACGATCATCAATGGCCGGGTTCGACGGGCGTTAAATGGGTCCAAATAGCACGTAGCAGCGGATGATGTACGTACAAGGGTACGGGCGCGTGGTGAGGACCCCGAAGACAACCTGGCCCACGGCACCCCTTGGCCTTTGGGTTGCTGTCATCTGCAAGTCTGCAAGTTACTGTCAGCCCTGTACCCTAATCCTAATGTACGGAGCGCGGGATGGAAGGGGGAAATAATATTGATATGCCCGATAGAGTGGTAGTGTTGCACAACGGGGTCATTTACCTACTAGTTTTCCCTGTTGGTCTTCTTCTTCCCCCCTGTCTTTTCTAGGTACCTACTTATGCGATCGTGGCTTTGCTGCGTCCACTCCACGTCCACTCACGTCCTAGAGGTGAGATGTCTAGCGCCAATTGGGGGCGGTCTGCACTTTCAAGTCGCAAGTTCGTTCCAAGTGAACAGGTGTAACAATGCAGCATAGCCATCATCGTCTTCTTTGGGTCTTCTTTAGTATGCAAGGCATATGTACCTAAGTTTAATTGACTTTGAATAAGAATATCACCAACGTAAAATCCTATCCACCGAAAATTACTCGAACCACAGACTACCATTGGAAATCAACAAACCCAAACTCTTGCCCTTCTTGGGATGGTGTATTGCTTATTTTGACCAATAGGATATAACCAGGGTTTTCGTGATAGACCCGGGTAATAGTCGCGCTGTTGGTTTTATTACTTTTAACCTGGGTGTGTACTGAGGATGTGGCTACTACATACCTAGATAGTATCTTGAACTGCCCTGGCCCCTGGCTGCGTGGCTTGCTCGAGGGTCCGGGCTCTTGAAATACTGGGTCTTCAAACCCCGCGATACCAACCTACCTCATCCATGCATCGTAGGAATCAAAGTAACGTCGACTTACATAGCAGACTAGATTAGATCAAGAGGCTCCGCCGTTGAACGAGCCTCCACCGAACGGTAGAGCTCGTCATATTTACTAATGTAAGGCTACGTTATCTCGCAGACTTCAGCCTCTACAGTTCTACAGTTCTACAGTTTAGAAGTGGAGTTGTCGAATTATGTCCGCATTCGAATTAGCGAGACATGATGCCTAACTCCGGCTTCATACTTAGATAGGTAGTTGGTTGCTCTATAAGCATTCTGAAGGAATCCCGCAGCTAAGTCTGTGCCGTGAACGTACCTACAGCTTCAGCTTGTTCGGCAAGCGGTATTCCTACCTATAGATCTATAGCATATCGATTATTATATCCTTTTGAATGTTATAGATTGTGAGGCCTTCGAACTATTAGTAAGTCTTAGTTATACCGTCTTACCTAAATAGATACGATACCTACTGTTTGAATTTGATCATCGGTTATCTTGAATAACGACTTGCTTACATAGCTGGAGCAAATAAAATATACGGAAGGTGTTCCGGTCAACTACCCAAGTAAATATTGATAGGATATACGAAGATATCCGCGGACTTCCTGACTTCACGCACCTACATAGTAAATAAATGGAATAGGGGGAACAAAGACAATTAAATTGTGCATATTTAATAATTACATAATGCATTATGCACTGCCTGACTGCCCATTATGCATCATATGTCATTATGTAAGCCGACATATGCATGGAAACTCGAGTCGGTTGTACCGAGGGTCAAATGCAAGCCAAGCTTTGCTCAAACCCAAAAACCCAATTGGCCGCTTGGCGCTGTTCCTAACCTCGGCGTACCCCGAAAGTTTACGCTAAAGCAACCCACAACGTCACTAATCCGTACCGCTACCGCTAGTAAACAGCTTCCCCAGAATCGTTCAATCTTCCCGCCATTTTCTAAGCCTCATTAAACGTTACAGATAGCAACGAAGCCACGGAGATCACGACAACAACAACACATACATGCGTTCGAAGTCATGCCATGAATGACGACATCACCATCACCATCACCATCGATTGAGATTGTTGAATTGTGAGTATCGTACTACCCGTACTACCATGTGGCTGCTCAGATGAGCTCTACCAATTTCGCCCAAGCCCAGCAGCGGTTGGCTGCGCGTCGACAGGCTCGCGAACGAGAAGCCCAAGCTCGACTCGACGCTACCCGCCAGGCATCGCGAGCCTGGACTGAAGTGACGCGTTTGCCATATCCCCTGAATCGAATTGGAACTTCATCGCTATCAGTATGGGAAGTTATCTCGTCACGCGAAGGCACGAGACCTGCCTTTCGAGTCGGCCAAGTCGACGCTGAATTATTGGACGAAGACCTCGTAACCCAACTACGCGATCAGGTTGGCGAGGCGCTCAAATACTTTGGAGGTACCCTAAAGGACGATTGGTCAGCTGAGATTCTTCTTGTGCTTCGTACAATCCTTTTCAAACTTACCATCTGGGACCATGATGCAACCTACGGTGCCGCTCTTCAAAATCTCAAATATACCGACGCGAGACGCGATGGTTTGGTCTTAACCCCTCCCAGTAAATGGCAGAAGAGCCTCTATGGTCTTATTACTGTAGGGGGGAAATATGGTTGGACAAAATGGGAGAATTGGTTGCTGGACCGAGACAATGGATATGATCAGCCCTCGCCGATGGTACGGAGGCTTGGCAACCTCACGTCACGGATCACTACTCTCCACTCGGTGGCTGCCTTCGCCTCGTTCCTCGCCTTCCTCTTGCATGGGAGGTACAGAACAATACTAGACAGGGTACTGAGAATGCGTCTAGCTCCACCCACCAGTCAAGTTAGCCGCGAAGTTTCTTTCGAGTACCTCAACCGGCAGCTAGTATGGCACGCGTTTACCGAGTTCTTACTCTTCGTCCTACCCTTAGTAGGGATCAATAGATGGCGTAGGTGGCTTGGCCGCACATGGAGGAAGACCAAAGAGATTATCAATGTCAGCAAGGAGAGTGATGTCAACGAGAAGCGAGGCGATTTTGCGTTTCTACCCGAACGGACATGTGCTATTTGCTACCAGGATCAAAACTCGGCTGTCTCAGAGACCGAGGTTTTGGCTGCAGCCGCCTCAAGTGGAGTTGTAGGCTCGGCACAGACGGATATCACGAATCCATATGAGACGATCCCATGCGGCTGCATATATTGCTTTGTATGCATTGCAACAAGGTTGGAGCGTGAGGAGGGTGAAGGATGGACTTGCCTACGGTGCGGGGATCTGGTAAAAGAATGCAAACCATGGAATGGGGATGTTCTAGAAGAACAACCGAAATCATCAGCACCAGCCACGAAACGCGTGGGGTTCATCGATGACGAGAAGCCTGCCCCCGGCCCCCCAGATGATAACGATGACACCGGTCATGAATTTCAACAACCAACACGAGAGGAACAGCTCGAGTCAGCGGCATCGGATTCTCCTGAAGATAATGACTCGGAAGTATACGAGGAAGAAGAGGCTGGGGTGGAGGAAGGGTTCGACGACTAATCGTCGGTTTCGATGGCACATGGAGCCTCTGTACAACAACCCTACCAAACTAGAAGAGCCTCCGGTTCAAGCAGCAAATCGTTAACCGCCCCCAAGCGCTCAACGATGAGCACCGGTTGAGACGTGAAACCTGTATCCTTTCGTCTGGACCTTCATCTTCGGCATATGAATGAGTTGTCTGCCATCATCACGTTTCTAAGAGTCGCAGGCGAGATAGCCTATTGAGTAGCCATACGCCCAGGGGTCCGGTTCAGTAGGGCTGCAGAACAAGTGGAGAAAAGCGGGAGGCGTATGCCTTCCCAAAGCACCGGTTGAAGGTTTCACGTCCCGTATCGACGGGCTCAGCATACGCCGCATAATAGCACAATCTCATCAACATCTGTCTGTGGAGACTCACTCAGCCCTATGTTCCCACCTATCGGACCAAGGTGTACCAACGCCTTGGCGATTAATATTATTTTTGTTCTCGGGAGATACTCTACCCCCCAATCCACCTTGAGGTTTGGCAGGTCGAGGCGCGAGGTTGCTTACGTGGGTGGCATCCTACTGTTATGCCTCCATTCGTCTGAGGCAAGCCTATTTAGACGACATCAGGGTTGTAATGAACTCTTACTAATATAGCAACCTATAATTTTTCTACCCAATCATTGTTCATATCAATATCCGCTCTCGTCACCGACTTATGTGAAGAATATTTAATTTATTTAATTAGTGATAGGTATGATATCATAGCTTAAGTGTGGATTTTACAAGTCCGGTAAGCACAGAATATGGCATCTTAGATTCCCAAGGATCGGCCGTAATCCCGCTCATCTGGGCGGAAGCTTATCCTTCGTGATCACTCCGCAAATGGCAGGGTGTAAGCACCATGATTTTTCTTGGGTTCGTCACCCCGCGGGTAAGCAAGATTGGGAGATCGGTTTAATAATAGTCCATATATAGTGGGAAAACTATCCAAGTCAGCAGCGACAAGACAAGTCTTTGCGTGCCATTCCTTCGGGTCGCGCTCGGGATCGCGTTGTCAAAACCACCGGCGTTAGCTACTAAAGTAATCAAATTTGAGATGTGACCCGGAGACATGTGTTGTTTATCTCAAGCTTATGTGGCTCTTCTGCTGACCTACATTATAACTTGACCAATGAATATTCAAATAGTTAATTACTGTCACACGTATGGTCTAGACCATATATCTATGTACATATAACCATTTAACCTAGTAGCGAGGCTCTAGTCATTAGCGTTTATATTAGTTTCGATCACGTCGTGCTAGGTTACACAGAGACATATGTATTGTTAGTGTTTTCCACTATAACAAGGCTTGTGTAACATAGTAACCACTTACATACTATAGCTTATCTAGGACTTGCAATGACTTAGTTATGACTGCTTTGCCGTAGACAGATGCAGCCATTAGCCAAGCTAACCAATCACAACTACTTTTTTCTAAGCAATAAACCCACGTCGATATAAGGCTTCGTTGATCGATGACCAACGGAATGCCTCCTCAAGAAACAGTTTGTACAACCAACGTCGTGAAGAACGGTGATGCCGATCTGGTCTTGGGCCTATGTTATACCTACTCAGCTGTCGATGACTCGGAGGTTATACTATAGAAGGCATAGTTACGACGATTTCCTTACCTTAATTGATAGGTTTCACGAGGTCCATCAGCCTGAGATGAAAAGCCCCCGCTATAAACGAATTAACTACTATAGCTTATAGTTATAACTTATACCAATGGCATTTTCAAGTTAAGCCACAGATACATAATAATAGCCCCCAAACAGCGTACTTAATATATATTTTCTATAGACTTCTTACGTCTTCTTCACCGAAGCCTCCAAATGACTTGCTTCGTGAACATAATATTATGTACCTAATGTATGGTGGCATTGTCGACGGTGGTGTCTCACCACACGCTCTGTGCCTAGTCCATACCTATACTATCGTCATATGTAGTCGAGACCATAGCCACCGATTAGCTAAGTCAAGGTAAGGTAAGGTAGCAACGGCGTAATCTCCGTCCGTACATACATACATACATACATGAAAGCTACCCTACTCTATCATATCAAAAGTTGGAGTACCCAGATCGTCATACCTATCACATCAACCCAAGGTAAGTAAGACCGGAGCATAACATCCCCCATCCTACTACGTAGGTAGAAAAGCGAGTCTGGCACCTTGCAGGCCGGATTCGCGAAAATGGAAAACAAAAAAGGAAAGTTGAAAGTTGAAAAAGGAATTAAGAATATGTATGTACCTCCTATCAATCTCCAAAGATGGGCCCCACATGAGCTTTGTGTTCGCAGGGACAGGGATCCATTATTTTAATTTTTTATTTTTTTAATCGCATGCAATGCAATGTAAGTGTCAATAAATGTAAATGTAAATGTACGTACCTACGTAGCGTCATCGTCACGCGCTCCTTCCTTGCAGCAAAGCAACAATCCACATGCACTATTGAAGTTGCACTCCTCTCTCTTCTTCCTCCTCTTCCTACCTATTATCTCCTTTTCCCCCTCCGGAGCCTGTTTTTACATATCTTAGGTACGATACGATACGTAACCTAGGAATGTAGCATAGCATAGTATAGCATAGTATGGTATGATATGGTATGGTATGTAAGGTCCGTTACATAACGTCCTGCGCCGTCCATCCATCATCCATTTACATAGTATTAAGCCCCCCCCCCTCCAGGTATTGTACATCCTTGTCTATCTCTCCCTTCCGCCGCTCGCTTCTACATAGGTTAGGTAGGTAACCAACCACGCAGCGGACGCATAATCCGGCCTGCAGCGTACCGAGATCACGAGTCCCGAGAGACGACCACCTCACCTCCATACGTACAGTAGCGTAGTAGCAAGCTCTCCCGCATCGAGACTTCGCACTCGCCTTGGCTCACATAATCAAGATCTGACCTTCATCAAAGCGAACAAAAGAGCGGCCCGCCTCAGCACCAACCCTCCCCTCCGCCTTATCAACCATCTTTGTGCCAGCTCACCACAGCCCACCCGCTCTTTCACCTCTCGCCCAGACATAATCCTCAACCCGCCATGTGCGCCGCCTCCCTTCGAGCTCCAACTCCAATTCCAATCCCAAAGCCGCCGCCGCCGCGCCAGCCTAATCCACACCGCAAGTAAGAGCGAGGAAGCGAGCGAAGAAAACTAAAAACGCCACCAAGATAAAGGGGGGGGCCGGGTGGTGGTAAGAGATAGCGAGAGAGGAAGCAGGAGGGAGGGGTACCTAGGACGTAAAGTAAGACGGAGAGAAAGAAAGAAAAAAAAAAACCCGAAAGGGGACACACGGCCCGGAACACCAATCAACTCTCTTCAGCCCAAGCAGGGCTAGTCCGCGACAGAAACAGAGCCAGACCGAACTAACCCGAACGCACCAACCCAATGCCCGCATTCTTCCCCTTCATCCCGGGCACCGAGACCGGCCGCGCCGCACGCCAACATGCAAGCGACTCCTCTCCACTCCTCGGCCGCTTCCGCGCCGTGCCCCGGCAGCCGCAGCAGCAACATATCGGGCTCCTGTCTACCGGTGGCCGCGGCAGCGTGCACGTCGGGTACGGCGCGTTAGTAATCGGGCCCCAGGACGACGGTGACGATGACGACGACGACGACGACGACGATGATGATGATGGTAGTAATAATGATAATGATAATCGACGATGTGGGTACACGGCGAAGAGGAAGATACGTCGGTTTGCGCGGGTCTCCCGCCGGAGCGTCAGGGACTTGTGGATAGCGCCGCGGCAGACGGCCGTCAAGCGCGTGGTTGAGAGTTGGTGGAGTCGTTGGGGAGTTCTGGTATTCTTGCCTGCTGCTTTGGTGAGTTTTTCGATTCGTATTCGCTCTATTTTATTACTTTTCTACTTTACGATAGGGTCTTTTGAAAGAGACGTGGGCACTAGCAAGGGAGTTTGGGGATAAGCACTACGATTATATGGGCTAACGAGCATCTGCTATGCCATCTTTCTAGGCGGTAGCATGGTGCGCGATTCCATTCCCCCAGTATTCCTTCGCGCCCGACTCGCACGGCCACACGAGGCCTCATGGCCATCCCGATACCGAACTGGATCCTTCTTCCAAGCACCGAGTGCCCGGTCACGGTAAGGCGCGCGTACAGGTCAACTTTTGGTTCTTCCTTTTCGTCTACTACGGCTTCTATAACCTGACGGCCCTGATCTGGATAACCAAAGTATTCAACCTCTACTCCCTCAATTGGTGGCCGTCCGCTCTCGGCTTCCCTGTGACCATCTCGTTAATAGCCATCCTTTCGATCGCGGCTCCCATCCCCGTATACCTGATTAGAGAGGCGCGCTTCTTGACGGTTCACAACACGGCTTGGGTTAGCTGGACTTTCGTCATCATGGCGATGCCCGTAGCTATCGCTTTCTGCATCCTCATGACGCACGAACGCCACTTGGGGCTGAGGCACTCGCTAAGCGAAACTCAGCGCATATTTACGAGTTCGTGGTGGGCTGGGAAGTCGGACACGCTATCGGTTACCCGAGATTACAACCGGCGCCGGGGGATCAGGGGTAGCACATTCGATCCCGACGCCGCGCTGCAGATTGCAGACCGGCCGCGACAAGCTATGCCGGCATTCATGCAAAGACGTAACTGGTTACCCGCCAGCTTCGTACGGTTTGTGTGGTTTTGTCTGGCGCTTTTCGTCGGTCTATTAGCCTATCTGATAGGAGAGGCGTATGCCGAGATCTATCTACGCACGCTACCACACAACAGTTTCGAAACCATCGTCTACGTTTACAGCTGGGTCGTGACGGTCCATTTGCTAGATGCACTTACAGGCTGGATTCTTGGTGGCAGCGAGGGGGAGCGCGTGGGAAGCTACCCCCTGAGCTGGATCTTCAAGCTGTAAGACTTGGTTGAGATGCGCCAGCTTAATCTCCAAGACTTCGCTAACAGATCTAAACAGGTACTTCATGTTAACCTACCAAACTTACGTTCGCGCCTTATACGCGCGCCTCCGTTCGCCGTCGCAATTCATCTGGCTTCAAGCGCTCTCGTCCGGTTTTCTCATCCTCCTTACTCCTCTCACCATGACGCAAACGTATCATCGCGTACTATCGATGCTAGGTCTGACCACCCAGTCGTACGGCTCCTATCAGAAGATATGCACCAGAAACGTCTTCATCCGCTTTCTGGCGGAAAACGTGAGCATGCTCACATTCTTGGGGAGCATCTTGGTACTGCACTTCGGAGCCAACAAGGATGTGTACCCGTACTTTGCATTCGATGACCCCGATGAACTGTACGATTTCGAGCTGACTTTCTACGCGTCCATGATTACTTGGGCTTGCGAGTTGACAGCAGGAATCGTGCTCAGAGGCTTGATTCGGTGCATCTTTGGGGTTAACGCTAACGTCGAGGGGAAAATGGACCTAGCAGTGTGGCCGGAGCTGCTACCCACGAGTGTGGCTGTCATGCTACACGTATTGCAGAGCATGTTATTTTCAATCATTCGGTTGCAATTCCGGTGACGGGATGGTGGAGGAGTCTTTGTCTAGTTGATGTGGAGAGAGTGGATTGGTGGCCCCTGACACTTTTTGCAGCTCGGTTAAGCGTGGCCAACAAATACTGCGCTTCAACGACCAAAGCAAGCGGATCGAACCTTATCGCAGAGAAAGGCACTAGGGGGAACTGATGGTGGTCGGTCGACAGGGTTCTTGGTCGCCAGGTCGCGCGGACAATGTTCCGGGATGTAGGTGGTCTTGTTTGCCTTCAGTACTTCTTCATTCTGTTAACATGCAAAGGTGCCCAAGGCGGAGTAGATGATACCCTTTTTAGAATAAATATTGTAGAATAGATATCCCCTGGGTGCTAACTAATCAAACCCCTTTATGGCCTTACTGTGGCTTGCGCGGAGATGGTGTGCAGTTGTGACGTGGAGCGAAATGAGGATGCATAAGTTTCTAGGTTAATTGTCTTGCACTCCTAGAATTGTAGATGAAAGAGCTAAGGGTGAGATGCGCACATCCGCAAGACAGGAAGAATAGCTTGCTAAAGGCTTGTCCACGCCTGGTATCCATTTGCAGAGACTTTATCTCTGCATCCGGGTGGAGTCATTGATTGGTGGAGAGGTATACAATGCACGAAATACTGCATACCCGGTGTGCCAGTTCTGAAGAGGCCGAAAGCATCGCGAGGTATTGCGGAGTAGTACGCAGCCGGACGAGCGCGGAGATGTTTGGCAATGTTTTAGCTACATAGTACCCATATACTCTAGTATATTGGAGAAGTCGGCAAATACGAAGAGGTGGTGTAGGTGTGTGTGATATTTGCTTCATGGCCACATCCGAAAAAGCTTCCGGTCGCCTAAACCTATCCGGTTTTCTGCCCCAATGTCGGGTCGGCCATTGTATGTACGCACGGCTCCAGCAGGTGGAAATGAGACCATATTAACGTAAGTCTGAATCGGCCGATTGCATAATGTCGTACGCCCATCCGATATAGCGGGGTGGCGTTTGTCAATTATCAAGACCTGCCAGCAGCAAGATCGATTTTCCGGGACGGGAGATGCAACCGCTGCAGGTCAATCAGAATCAGAGCATAAAGCTACGTACCGAAAGGGTGTATCCATCTCAACTTTATGCTTGCTTGTGTAAAAGCCTAGAACACCCCAGGGCTGACGAGTGGACGTGATATGTCGTTTGAGGTGATCGACAGATTTGCAGATCCACCAAGAGCGACGTCGCCATTCGACGAGGCTGTACCTAATCGTCAATACTCAGTTCTCAACCAGTCAACTTACCTATCCTGGTACCCCTAGTAGTTTCAACATGTTCGAAGCTTGTTTCTATTCCCCAGCTTCTGATCTGGCCAAGGTCGGTTGATGGATCTACTGCCGTTGTAGACACACCTACCTACCCGGGAGATTGGCGGTGAGCACATGCAACCACTAACATCGCGGTTCAGCTCCCCGGCATATAGCACAGAACAAAGGAAAATCGCGGTCAAGATAACCCAACATGCGGGGGGCCAAACATAGTGCTGAAACGCTGGGGACGATAGAGAGTTCCATGCATGCCATGTAGAGGGCGTTGAAGTGAAACCAATGCAAGTCCCATACCCTCGCATATTAATTAGTATACAAGGGTTAAATAAACCCCACGCGGATACTGAAGGTCCAACTACCTACTAGAATCTCGGAGAGTCTGAGAGTGGGCTATGGTGTCACAGAACGGTACACCGGCCGTGTTGTCTTCAACATGCCGGGTTCCCACAAGGGGTTAGACCATGCTATCGAGATGAGTCAAAAGCAAATGCTCCGATTATAAATGAGCTGAATACCATAGTAGCTTTGCGGCTTAAGAAGCTTTGTAAACCAAGGGAATGCGGCTTACCGGCTTTTCCCAGCATGGATAGGACGGTCAGATTAAAAACAAAGGCTGGTGTGTGTGGTAGCTGACAAAATCAGGGGACTTACCGTTATCAGAATGCCCTCTCAGGAACACGAGCCGGTGCTTATTAGTCCTTAAACTAGATAGCGGCCTAATCCAGGAGTGAATACGGCCGGCTTACGCAAAAGCAACGAGATAAACCTGGCAACTCAATTTAGTGTAGGTATCGAGGTAGGAACTTCAACGTTGATTCGGCGAAACCGGCGGGTTAATATGTGCGAGGCTGTGTGTATCGACCCAAATCCTTATGCGTTTTAAGAATAGGACCCAGCCAGGAGACACAATTGCCCACTTGCTGGGCGTCCAATCATCCGGATATCCTCCTCGGCCATGGGACTAGATTCATCGCTAGAGTTGACAGAACAGTCGTAGGCATCTAGGTGTGCATTTGTAGCTCGAGTTCAAACATGTGAGTGAACGGTGGTGTGGTTACAACATTAAATACCTGTTGGTCACAGCATCTAGATCCCCTGTCTCGGTTGCTGAGTATGCAAGAGATGTGGTTGCAGGAGGCCGGAGTCGTTGTGACACCTCGATCGAAGGAGAGGAGCCAGTCCAATTCGACTAAAAGAGGATGGAGGGCGATTGAGGCGTAACGCGGCCTTTGAGCCCCATGTTTCCACGAGCGGGATACGAGCCTTGCTGGTTGATGTGGAAGTGAGAAGTGTACATACCTCGTATGGTATCGGTTTAATTGGTTCCAATGATACTCAAAGAAAACGACGGGTTACCGAGACAGAATCTGACTGGATCCCGGGCCGCTGTGCGTATGTATGGCAGGTATGGTACCTAGGTGGAATGTATGATTGTAGGGATGTGATATACATAGTATGTGGATGCAGTTGACGAGACGATTTCCGACAGCGTCAATAGCACCTTGTTAGTCAATGATCACCTCGATCACCTCATCAATTCTCCACACAACGCAGCGGGAGGTGGCGATTATGGGATTTTTAATGTAATGATTCTTCTTTTAGACTACTGTCCCGAGCAGGTAGCCAAGAGCCGAGCCCAAGACCGTAATATCAAGACGGGTCCGGGCTAAGATTGTGCGAGCTACTATGTATACCTAGGTAGGTAGCTTGGGACCTCAACGGACGTAAGTCGGTAACCAGAGGATCTAAGGGATAGGTTATGGAAAATGTCGGGTATACGGGGAAGCAAGAGATGAGTCAGGGATTCCGGGAGACTTCGCTGATAGAGGAGAAGGGGGAAAAGGTGAAATGGGTATGTAGAAAGTCTTTTGAGGAAGTAAAGTGTGGGGTCGGACAAAAACGATCAAATCGCGATTTCCCAAAACTTCCAGGTTCTTAATGAGTACTTGAGTACCTAATTGAGGCGGGGCAGGGCAATTGCTTAACTCTTTTTAATCCCTGATCTTATTTCTTCAATGTTGAATACCTACACTAATAATATACAACAACACACGAATAAAACACCTAACAATACTACCTACCTACACGAATACAGGAACGATATACATACTGTACCTGTACAATGCTACCTACCTACATGCGCCTACATACATAAATGTATCTACCTTCATTATGAGGTACGCATTATTATCTAGTGAGAAATGAGAAGTGAGAGTTACGATAGATGCGATATCGCCAGGTGGTTGACTTGCGACTTATAAGTTGCGACATACGACTTGCGACTTGCGACTTGCAAGATATATAAGTTTAGGCAAGTAATATGCGTGTAATCAATCGGTATTACGCGTAAAGATCTTTTTATCATATATATCCCCCTCCCCTTTTTTTTTGACATCTGATATCTATATAGCCTCTCTCAAGCTCTCGAGCAAGATACTGTGCCATTCGGACCCTCCATCTTGAGACCACAATTAGTCCCACGACTGCCAATATCCCCCTGTGGTAAGCCTATTCAAAGACCGAACAAATATAGTTTATTTAGGAAGGTGGCAAAATTTTTTATATACCGTTCGACCGATAGTTGAGGTCTCCTAACCAGTATCCCGTAACACTTTCCCCTGATCATCCCATTCCTTCGGATGAATTTGTAGGGTAACAATGCTTCTAGAAGGAATCTCCCCTTTTCGATACCCATCTCCCATAACAACTACGTACCTTAGGTAGGTAGCTGCGCAGGTAAACCACCCAAGGTACGCAGCAGAAAGATACTAAGGTATCCAGTCTGCCAGTGTGTTCGTCCCGCTGCGGATTCTTTGGTTTCCTACCAGAGACATTACGTTGCCTTACACCGCATATACATGCATAGCTGCTCACGCCTCTGCGGGCACGTTATTGTATATAGCCATGTATAGGTATAGCATGTACGGCTTACATATAATATCAAGCCCTTAGCAACTCCCTGATGGCTGGCACTTTTCTATGGCTCTATGGTCAAAGATTATGTAAACGCTGGTGCTAATGAAGTACGGCGTTGGCCGGAACAAGCCATCAGCAAAGCTGCAAAGAAGCAATCCCTGATAACGCATCCAAGTCTGCATGCGTTCTAGTCCTCCGTTCGGTATGGTGGCATTAGGAGGCAGTGGGGTTTCGAATGGTGAGCACCGAGAAAAACTACAGAAAACCCCTGCACCGCCCACCTGCTACACCCACGGGCCACGAGAGGGGCAGAGAGGTTCATCATTCGTCCTGGATATTACCTGAAGTACGGTATCAGAATAGGTATGTACCTAATCATTTGTACAATACCTACCTTTATGGTCTGAATTAAATCTACTACATAGAGTAGACCGTTTTCTTTTTTTTTTCTTTTTTCTTTTTCACCTCACCGATATCTGGTTTATGAGGTATGTATTGTAGATTGTAGATGGTAACTTGGAACTAGCTGCATGTATCCTGTTCTTTATCCTGCCCTTCCAGCTATAGCTTACCCATTTTGGTAAGTGGGCTATGCTTTAAACCTGCCTTAGGGACCAGCTAGGTTGTCGGTGGGGTCTTTGCATGTTTCTGTACTCACTCAGGTACCGAGGGAAGTAACGCTATCCCTATCAGATGTAAGTAGAACCTAGTATTCCGGTACGAAAGAACTAGGCACGCAATTAGAAGGTTTACCCCTCCAAAGAAAAAAAAAATTGTTTCGAAGAGGGAAAAAAAAAAAAAGATTTACCTCAGCTCCATCCCACTCTGTTAAACCACTCCCTCCACTCCTCTTACATAGAAACTCGTTGTCTTAGGTTTCCGTCTTAACCAACGACAGTCACACGTCTTTAGTTACCCTTTTCTCATCCGAATTCTTACTCGTCCACCCCTGTACTTGTACACACGTATTGTACATACATCTCACAAAACTCACAGACCTTCTAACCAAGGACAGAAGTTGTTATTACTATTGTTGTTGTTGTTGTTATTATTATCTACCACCCGGGTTGCGGCAAGCAGGCTACCTTACACCTCTATTTCCATCCCCCATCACCCATCCCGCCCCCTGCGCATTCCTCCGCGGCCACTTCTGAGGCGGCCTTGTCTCTTTGCCTGTTTGTCTGACTTGGCTTTGCCTTGTCTGCCTATCCCATTCGTCTTTCGACTCCCCTCCTGGCCCTTCCACTGTGCCACACCCCCAAAAAATTTTCACGCATTATCTTCTCTCCCCCCCAAGGTACACATATCGCCTACCCTGCCCTTCACTCCTCGCCGTCTTCTCTTCTTCTCCTTCTTTCCTCCTCCTCCTCCTCAGCATGAGCGGTCTAGCCACTTCCAACATCCCCGTTGATCCCGTGGCAGCCAACCCAGATCAGCCAAGCATCACTTCAACTGCTGCACTCGATGCCTCGCGACGAGAGCCCGCCCCCTCCGCCGCCGGTACCACCGAACTCGCCGGTAAATCGGTAAACACCTTGTCCGCGCACGAGCAGGAGAAGCTGGAGACTGCTAAGCAATTGGTGATCGACGCCTTGAGATTCGTACCTGACTTCCCCATCCCCGGTATAAAGTTTATCGATATCCTCCCGATTTTCCAGAGCCCCGTGGCATTTGAGTCTCTTCTCGAAGTACTTGCCCTCCTAATACGAGAACGATACGGCGACCAGATACCAGATGTCATAGTGGGTCTAGAAGCACGCGGTTTCCTCTTTGGGCCCTCACTTGCATTGAGGCTCAACCGCCCATTCGTCCCGGTCCGGAAGAAGGGCAAGATGCCAGGCGCATGCAGAACAGTTGAGTACAAAAAAGAATATGGATCAGACGAATTTCAGGTGCAACTCGATGCTATCAAGCCCGGACAAAATTGCTTGATCGTGGACGATATCATTGCTACAGGTAAGTTGAGTGCTTCGCGTCTACCTATTACTCGTGCTTTCTGCTAGGTCGCTTGGGCCTCTCAATGCCATATTATAAGTTGGCCATCACTAGCACTAGCCTTGATTCCGTCTACCCTAGCCTATCCGTCCCTGTTTCAAATATACTCCCGCTCTTCTACCTATTACCTATCAATGGGCACACGGACAGTTTTGGGCTTCCTCTCAGTCGTCCGCCGCATCACTTAATGTCTAGTATGAGTACAAGCTAGGGAAATAATGGCGGTGGTCGACAGTACTGCTATGCCCCAAGTTTTGCTCATAACTAGCCATGGCAAAGGCAGATAGACGTCCGGCATGAGGCTAGAAGTCGGCTCCAGTTATACCGGTAATAAATATCTCCACTAGGTGGTATAAAAAAAACAAAAAAACAAAAAACACGGGCCAGGGATAAACCTGCCGTTTCAAGGACAAAAAAGCATCATCCAGTTTTGCGTTCTAGCGTGACTTTCTTGTTTACTCTGCCGTTCCGGCTTGTCCTCTCAACTGACTGGGTAACTCAGGAGGAACTGCTGCTGCTGCAGGCCAACTCGTGGAGCTCTCGGATGCTAAAGTCATGGGTTATCTCTTCATGATTGAAATTACGAACCTCAAGGGCAAGGCGCTACTGGGTGACAAGCCCATGATCACTCTCGTCGAGCACGATGAAGAGGAATAGATTCCGCGTATCACCTACCCTGGCATTCCCTGTTCCTACGTCACAAAAAAAGGTTTCATTCCCAAAATACACGAAAGAGGACGACAATAATTCACAAATTCCACCATTCTAAATCTAATGCTAGATGCCTCTCGGACTTTATTGGATAGTTGGATTGGATAGAACGCGCTGTTGGGTTGCTACAGTACTTCAGCGTAACCGTTAATCACAAGTGGGGAGGCCTCTGCGAAAGCTGGTTTGAGGTTGCATGGCCATGGCGTTAATGGAATACGAATAACACAGGGTGGCACTGAATTTCTGTTTTAACATGATTTGCTCATAGAGAGTCATAATTCCGTAATCCATCCTAATCTCAATAGTCTGCCTGCTTACTTCTACATAACTGCCGGGAGTATTGTTCTGCGTAGGTATCACACTATCTCGATTGTCAGCACGTCAGCTGAAATTACCTATCACAAAAGGTGTTCACCAATATCATCACGGTATCAAAGTTGGTCACTATTCAGTTCTCGTGTTCCAAGGTTGCTGTGTTACAAATGATAGGTGAGTTCTTTGGTGAAGCTCGTCGTTATACAAGTTCCGAAAATGGTAATGTCACCCCTATACATGCGAGCTTGACGTAGAACTTGTACCTAGATACAAGTTAGATACAAGTAACCTTTCCAAGAGTCCAATAGTTGACCTTCACGTGCTTCAGAGCTTTCCAGATACACGAGCACGAATCAAAGAGCCGTGTCCAATTACTACTGTCACCTCACCTTCTAGTCTTTTACATCCCAGATCTTGTCCTACCTCGACTGCATCCTTGCAACCACATACTCCAAAGTGAATGGCTTCATTTTACCTATACGATAATATAACTTGCACTAACGCATCACTTGTACGTCCGCGGGGTGCTCAGGCACCTTTTGGGTAGTTGTTCATTTATATGGCATCGCGGGATATCCATTGAGATACTTGCCGTTATCAGCGATGACGACAAGGTCACGGATTAGTTTAGTTTTCTAGCCACCGCGGGGTGTCAGTCAACCATTCAAAGCTGCGATAATAGGGGTTACTATATCCTGTTTCGACTGTTACTGCATACGGATATTAGGGGGGACAAAATAGAACATGGCGAATATATTTTAACTGTTGATGTTACTATTTATAGATATAACTACGGTAATCTAGCTTAAGGGTCTCATATGACATCAATCGTGGTAGCCAGAGGGTTAGATACACTAGGTACTTATATCTGCTGCCTTTTCTTATTGGTCTTTAGGGGGGAGGTTGCAAAAGAGACGACTACGAGGAACATCGTCCAGAAGCATACTACACAGTAGGCTCCCACAGTACATAGGTAGCCACTTGAAATCCGCATGTTACAGGAAATATTTCTCAAGGGGAAATCCAATTCGGCGTAATAAAACATCGTACGCGCGTCTTATAACCCTAAGTGAAGTTGGCGTCGAGCACATTCTACATACTTAAGATTGAATATACGTAGCAAAGTGTAAAGCGGACCACGAATAACAATCACCAATTTGATATCTAAGAATAATCAAGACAAAGGCTTAGTTAGGTACAGCATATCCTCGCTTCCTTAATAGCTAGCTATCTCACCTACTCTCGTGGGGTGTGGAGCGCCACGAGATCTACAAGTCCTCAACCCCCACGCTTTTTTTTCATCGTGTCTACTATAAATCTACCTATCTAGTAAGAAAACTAGTTCCCAGCCGGTACGCCTGTTGGAAGGATTGATACCCAGTGAGCCGTAACTACATAATCGTATGAGGACCGAGGCCATGTCAGTCGGCCCAATACTACGTAGATATGTCGTTCCTTTCCCCCTCCCCCTTTTTTTTGCTCTGGAAAAATGCCTCTTATTTCACTACTCCATGAGGGACTTGATAGAATTTACTACCTAGACCTCGAACTAGATACATAGTCAACTCGCGGATCTTGTCAAAGTAAAGGAATCGTCGCATATAAGTGTAAGAAGCAAGAAGCGACAACCAAGAGCAATGGTTGGAAGTCATCGCAAGACAAGATCATATTCGCTTATGCAGGTCCTACTTTACCCCGGATTGACGCGCCGCGCTGCAGGGGCCGACGATCTAGAACGGAGGGCGAGGCGATCCTTGCTTCCTTCATCAATTCCGCCTCTTCTCGCCACAAGCAGTGGGATTTGTTGTAAGTCTACCTAATGTGTAAGGTCCTACAAAGTAGACAAAAAAAAAAAAAACTGTTGTGCCTCTCACATACATGGAATAGATGCCATCGAGATAATATGCCATTACATATGTATCCCGGATCGTGGGCCGATTGTGCTGGTGATTTTACTATGGGCTCTCGGGTTTTGAGGCTCGGATTCGGGTGGCGAACCGAGATTACCTAGCAGGAGTTAAAAGCCGTGTGGATTTCGACGATGATGATGCCTAGTCGTGTCAATAAGGTATTGGACGCTATGTAGTAGCAAGCCCTTAACCTTTTCTCTTGCTCTTAGGTATCAACTCTTCGCTAGCCCATCGCGTTCGTTCCTACAAGCCGCGTTTTACGCCTCCCATCACGCAGCCATCAAGCACCAAGCCATCCACGGAAGCAGAATGTCCTCAATCACCACCGCGATCCCCACGGGCCTAATCACCTCCTGGTGCATCGGCGCCGCAGCGCACTTCGACGACGGCTCGCGGTACGAATGCCAGCGCGACTCGCCCGGGTGGTCAGCGACCAACTTCCAGACCTTCTGCTGCGACGGCGACATCCTCAACACGGCCAAGGACATCTGGCGCGACATCGGGGACCGCGGCAAGAACAACTCGATCGACATGGCCGACATGATCTGCTGCGGCCTAGGCGGCGCGCAGCAAGGCGGTATACACCCGCTCCCGACCGCGTACACGGCGTGTTCGGCCGGCGCGCCGACGCCCCTGGCCAGCATCGCGGGCACGAACACGGATAACGCGGTGCCGTTCCGCGTCACGTACACGAGCGCTAGTTTTGGCGGCGACGGCGGCACCGTTGTTGGCGATTACATCCCCACCGAGCGGCCGACTTGCTTCTGGGCGTACACGGTTGGCGTCGGGACGACGGAGGTCACGTTGCCGGCGCCGGATATCACGACTCTGCCCCCGGATACGACGGACGAGTTTGGGTTCACTGTTGCGACGCCGACGACGGGGCCTAGGACTACTACTATGGAGAAGAGTGCTTCGGAGCCTACTGGTACGACTGGCAGCTCAGGCGACGACGCGTCGAGCTCGGGGCCGAGAACTACGGTTTTGACGGGGACGGGGACGGGGACGCAGAGTAGTAGCGAGGTTCCGAGCGAGTCAACGTCGACGCCTTCGGGCGCGTCGGCTGTTACGGGTGTAGGGAAGGGATATATGTGTCTTGGTTTGGGTCTTGTGACCGTGAGTTTGCTTTGGAGCTGATACATATTACACAGTGTATCTGGGCTGAGAATCTCAAGAGTGGATATGTACATAGAGACGGGGCAAGTTATGACTATGTTATGATGTTGATAATAATGTAATGATAATGTGTACACTAGAGGTTGCCCCCCCGGGCAACACAAAAGCCTAAGGTTTACACCGCACCATGTTTCTATACTATTTTTATTATTTTTATAATTATTATTATTATTATATTAGTAACCTACCCCTATTAAACTGGAGGGCACTCCTATAATAGCCCGAATTAACTGCTATTATACGGCTGGACAATATTCTCACTACCCTCGTGTTGGATTAGAGGATAATCCGTCCCGCACGAGTATATAGATGCGTCTCTCCTCGAGCCGCATCTATCTCGATCTTACGATCATGCATCAATTACAAGAAGGTCTCCTTCATTGCTGCATCATGTCTATTTCCTTACCCCCCTAATCCGTACGTACGTATAATATAGACTAGACCTTGTCTACCGACACCTCGAGACTTAAGTAATAAAGAAGCTTTAAACGGATGCATAGACTTATTCCTTTTATATTTACTACTTTCTATAAGGCAGGAAGATTATTTGTAAGGCAGCAAGGCATGTATCCCAAATAGGAAATTTTTACTCGCATTCAACACAACATCCTAAGGTAAACCTTAGGCATATGGGAGAGTTAAATCTCGATTTAGCGCTACACCATGTATAAAAGATATTGTCAGGACTGTATTAGGTACGTAGCTCTCCTGAGTTTACATATATATGTAGAGCATCCAGTTCTTAGAGAAACGTGGTTTCGTCATCGAAGATCATAATAGTAGGTAAAGAAAAGACTATTGAATGAAATAATTAAATATTACTACCTATTTGTGATCCTCGGTATTTTCACCCCCCACCCTATTTTTATACATGCATTGGAAGTCTGCGCCCTAAATCGGATAGGATAGGATACCTTATCCAATATCATATGCTATTTTCTTTCTTTTCCCTTCCCCTAGATTTACTTCGTTGATGTTCTTGTTCAGCTCCTCATTCCCCTTATTCTTCTCAATCCCGCTTACTTCGCGGCTTCGTAGTGACATTGTAGCCCCGGATATCAAACATGCTGTCATCAAACTCGATAGATATCGAGATAGTGACAGGGATAGGCGCGGGACGGCCGCCGCTGTCAAGTCTCGCACCACTTCCGCCGGCGGTACTAGAACTTCCGTTGTCTGTGCTCTGCTCGGCGGTTCGATTCCCGGTCTGTTCGGGTACCGCATTAGCCCGCAAGGTGCTCGCGTCGGTACCAACGCCAGACGCGCTGGATGTGGGAGTCATGACTGGAGTGCCGAGTCCGGGATGCAAGGTCTCGGAACTATCGTCGGTAGACGAGGTAGATATTCTAGGGTGGGCAGAGAGGCCTTCATTAGATGGATAGGCTCTATTTAGTAGGTCGAATACTTCGCCAGCGGGCTCATATCTTGTCGAGGGAAGCATGGTCTTATCGTCGGATACAGTAGGACGATTAGGGGGCAAGGGCTGGCTGAACCGATTGCGCCGATGCCAACGTCCGTTGAGATGGTCCGACGGATAGAATACACCGGGTGCGTCGGGCGTGGGAGGTCTTGCCGACAAGGATTCTGGCCGGTATGTTATATCCTCAGCAGGCATAGCCGGCGGCGTACTTGGCATACTAGATTCGGGGGCACTGTCAAACCGAGGTACCCGGGTTGGTGGACGATTCGGGTCGAATATAGAGGACTCAAACCGAGCGATCTCGTCCGGGTCGGGAATGGCGCTGGGCCTCTCGAATTCAGTATCGAGGATATCACTGGGGAAAGCCCTGTGGGGTAACCTTCCCTGATAATCCCTAAGCGGCCGCCCAGTAACGAAACTTTCTAGGATATCTGACCCTTCCGGCACGGTAGTCCCGAAGGTATTGTACCAACCGGAGCCGGTGTGATCGTAAGTCCCGCTAGGTCTTCGGAAGTCTATGAGGTTTTGCAGATCTCGTATATACTGCGGCGTAGTCTCGGTAGTGGGACGTCGCCTGTTAGATGGTCCTCCGGGAGTGGACATATTTTCTTGGTCGAATTCCCCGAGGCTTTCGAGCCTCCCAAAGTCATTGTCATATGCCATGGCGGCCATCGAGCGGCGGGGACCAGCTTGTCTGGCGGGAACGGGAATATTGGAGCCTCTGGGTCGGCCCCGTTGGTTGATCCAGCCCGATGCTGGCTGCTGACGATCGCCTTGTTGACGGTTGGATTGCATTGTTCCAAGTGAGTACCTGTTTGTTATTTGGTTAGGTAGGTAAGGTGGAACTTTTATTGTTGTGTTGACCCTTGAGAACCATGTAGCAAAGATGAAGAGAGAGGAAAAGTAAAAGAATATGAAAAGTTTTATATACAAGTTTTCGGACCCTTGAGCAAACATGCGGGACACTTGTGAGTAGGTACGTGTACTGTGACTATTTACACGTGTAGATACCTAGGTAGGTAGGCTTGATTGTTACATGATTTTGTTAAGAAGTGGGCATGCATGTCATTTCAACCGTCAAGGAAAGATGACTGGAGTGATAATGCAGCCAGTTGGCTTCAAAGGTAATCGATTCAAGGTTTTCGTGACGTAGGCTTACAGTATACATAGATAGCAACGATTGCTACAAGACACCCTTTGGGAGCACATATCCACATCTTGTTAAGGATCTGACTGTTCTCCTGACGCATGTCCTCAGCCGTTATTAAACATACCATCATAGAATACGACTATGCATATGATTTAAACACCGTGCATCTAAGCACAGAGTTCACGAACAGTGTGGTTCCCAATAAAGCTTTAACAACAATGACAACTAATAAATCCCAAGTCAGAATATGCTATCGAATATTATTTACACTGACGTTGAAATCCTGGGTAGGGTTCTGTTTGCTTGAAGGTTTGCAACCCATAGACAGAGTACTGGAAACAATAGAAGCCGACTTTCATCAATGCCCAAATAATGAAGCATCACCATATTGAGCTACATCTACCTGTTATAGTTACCTTGGATGCCTACAGAGAAAAAGGAAGAACTTTCATGCTTAGATGCTCGCCCTTGTGATGTTCTTCACTTACACTAACTACAAATAATGAATGTAAACCATCCAATAACATATAGTAGCTACATCAAGAGATTTAGTTTATGTATACAGGGAGTTCATCATTATCCAGTGAAACTACATTTCTTTGTGATGGGTAGTGGTTGACATGAACGAACTTACAGTTAAGAATATTCACGTACGGGAGGCAAAGGTTACACCCTCTGATATAATTAAGCACACTACGACGACTTGAGTATCACAACCAAATGTGCCACGAAGACAATGAAAAGACAACTTTGTATAAGAGCAATTGGTTCATATTGATGCTAATGATTCCCTATCAGGAGCTTGGAGAACTAAGACTGCTAACGACTAACGATCTATCAACAATACAAGACTGCAATCACAAATACAGGCAAAAGACTAGCAACACTGAACACATGAGTATCTATTAGCTATTAAGAGAATGCTTCAGCCGGCAAGTGCATACCCTACGTGGCATAACACAACACGCGACATCTAATCCGTATGAGGACCTCGCGTACTTCAATATCAAGTAGCTCCGTCGCAACATATTCCGCCCACTCCGTCACTGTAAAAGATGAAACATTTGTGTGCTGTTTCGCAGGTATTTTCTGATCCGCATCAACCAAATGACAGGGGGTATACTGGGTATCAGTTGAGTATTAGGAAAAGATGTGTCAAAACAAAAGCAGTTCTCCTCGCAAATTGAGACAAGACATGCAAAAAGCGTCAGTATAAAGATCATGGATGCCATCCTTGCGTCAATGCAGCGCACTCCCTGTTCCGACTAACAGAGAGTAAGCCCGCCAATCGCCGACAACAGATGGGGGTATCAGTTAGAAACCAGTCTCGTAGGGTATCTTGAAATGCAGATCCGTTCCCGACCAAACCCAGTGTCGTGGATACACTTTACGAAAACATTAAATATTGACCCGCAGGCCAAAGCGGCGCGCACTCTATGCGGCAGCGGTGACGGGAGCCGGGGCAGCGGCAGCAGGCTTGTCCGCAGATGTCTCCTCGGCGACGGGGGCGACAGCGGGTTCAGCCTCAGCCTCCTTGGCGGGCTCGGTCTCCTCAGCTACATCAGTGGGCTTGGCGTCCTCAGCCTTGGACTCCTCAATAGGCTTCTCAGCCTTGCCCTTACCCTTGACGGTCTGGCGGAGCTTGGAGAAAAAGGGAGGAGACTTGACCTTCTCGCCTTCTTCGTCAGAGGTAGCAGCCTTCTCCTTCTTGCCGAAGCCGAAGGGGAGAGAGGACTTGCGCTTCTCAGCCTTCTCCTTGGTCTCGCCATTGGTGGCAGGAGTGGCATCAGTTGTCTCAGTAGGGACAGTAGCAGGAGAAGCAACCTCTGTCGAGAGGGGCTCGGAAGTCTCGACGGCAGGGATCACGGGAGCCGTCTCGGCAACAGAAGCGTCGGCGGGAACATCCTTAGCAGGAGTCGCGGGGGCAGACTCAGACTCGACCTTCTTCTTTCCGAAAGAGAGACCACCGAAAATGCTATAAAAGGTTAGAATATATAGAATTGGTACGACAATAGGGAATCAAAACATACCTAGCACGCTTGGTAGGAGTAGGCTTGACGGGCTCCTCCTTCTTGGTCTCTTCGGCGGCAGCCGGGGTCTCGGCAGCCGGAGTCTCAGTAGAGGCGGCAGCTTCTTCAGGAACAGGCTCAGCAACCTCAGGGGTCTCAGCAGGCTTGTCCTCGGCGGGCTTATCTTCAGCGGTGGTCTCCTTCTTGGCTTCCTCCTTCTTGCCGAGAAGGTTACCGAAGATGGATGCGCGCTTTCGGCTAGCAGATCGGCGCTTGGAGTCCTTGCCGTCCTCCTTCTTATCCTCCTCCTTGGGTTCTTCCTTCTTGTCCTCTTCCTTAGGCTCTTCCTTAGCTTCCTCCTTTGCGGGCTCGGCCTCAGCAGGCTTCTCCTCCTTAGCAGGCTTCAAGCTCTCAAGAGTCTGCTTGTACGCCTCAGTCTCGGTGATGGTAGCGGCAAGCTCCTTAGCTTCGGCAATCTTGAGCTTCAACTGCTCAACCCAGTTGTCACGGTCAGCGGCAGTGGGTGCCTTGAATGCGTGCTTGTGACCCTTGGCAGTGAAGAAGAACTTGGTAGCACCCTCAACAGTGGGCTCAGAGGCTTCAGCCTATATACCAGTTAGTATGTCGTACTATTAACCATGTCGCATTAATTAGTTGTGCATACCAGTTGGATTGCGCCGGTCGGAGTGCCCTTATCGCTCTCCTTGCCGTAGAAGAAAAGACCCTTTCCGGTCTCGGCAGCCCAGGCAGTGACGTGGTGGGCGACTTCAGTAGCCTTCTCATTCTTTAGGTATGTGGCAAGCTTGTCCTTAGGAATGGCATCGGTGCCGAACCAGAAGTGCTGCTTGGAGTAGATAAGGTTCCTGAATTAAGTTAGTTAAGATATCTTTATCATATGTAAACAATCATAACAAATCATAACATACTTGGGGAAGTTGGCGGGAGCGCCCTTGTGCTCCAGGGTGCCAGCCTCGATGGGCTTTGCTTCCTCCTTCTTAGCCTCCTCAGCAGGAGCGGCGGCCTCAGTTGTCTCGGTAGCCTCAGCGGGTGCCTCAGTAGCGGCAGCCTCAGCGACAGGCGCGGTCTCGGCGGGCTTGTCCTCGGCAGGCTTCGTCTCAACAACGGGCTCAGTGACGACGGGGGTAGTCTCGGCGACTTCAACGGGTTTCTGTTCCTCTGCCATTTTGATGATTGTCTGAAAGGAAAAACTAATTTGGGTATCAAGAATATGGGTATCACTAGAAAAGGGAAATTAAATAATGGAGAAGCTACTCGTTGGATGGAGTAGAGGTAGTATTAAATGACACTTCGTTGTCTCGCGGGGGAGTGTTCTTTGGAGGTGCTTGAAATGGAAGTGGAAGAACAAGGAAACTTGTAGTTGAAGTCGAGTACGACAGGAAGGGTGGGAAAGGGAAAAGTCGAATGGAAGCACAGCTGCTTCTGCCGGGCTTTATTTATTGTCTCGTGATTAATGGGAAAGAGAGTGACATGGAAGGGAGCACAGTCTCTTAGTGACAAAGTACAGTGACTGTTACTGTAGCAGAGACCAGGTAGGCCAAGCGCAAAATCAGGAGTACGATGGAGTACGATTTCGACTCCTGGAAGTACCCGGTACAGTATTTCTCGAAAAGTCGTGCACGGTAACCGGTCACCGTCCAACAGGGATTGTTAGGGTGGGTCTAGGCGGGTCGCGGGTTGTGTTGAGCGAAAACAGATGACCCACATCAAGTGCATTAGCAGTGATTGGCAGTTGCCGCCGTTATCCCCTGTGTCCCCTGCCCTGTTCTACTAAGGTTCTAAGGGAGAAAGGGACGAAAAAAAAAAAGGAGTGTGGGCTAAAGTCGAGTAGGTAATAACGATAGACCGTTTGTCAATCAATATTATTATTATTATTTTAAGTACCTATTTTGCAGATAAACTTTGCGCCATTTCATTGGCATATGTTTTTGCATATGTACTAACCCATTGAACCAACCTTATTAAAGAATTAAGTACATCCACATCAATCTCGTCCTATTATTTTTATTATGTTGTTATTATTATCATTATTATTCACCATACCGTGTTTGTGCTACCATTTACCTCAGACTAACATCAGACTACCACTTAACCTAACCGATACTTGATGCCTGATGCCTGGGATATAAGGGATTTTCTAGTACATAGGTATATGCTACTACATACGATACATACCTATCTAGCTGGGTTCTTCCTTTTCACTTCTGCATGAACTCCCAGTCCTTACCTAACTCGTTGCTGGGCCATCTGCAAATCTTGCAGCTATGGTCTGTGCCTGCAACATAATTTTTTTTTTCCTTCTTCTCTTCGAAATGAAGGCCCTGTCTAGCTCGTTCGACGAAATTACAATGTCGTTTAATATGCACCGGCGCACTAGTGGCCATGGGCTATTGACAGGGGGCTGAAGGGGGGACAAGAATTGTTCCCAGCATTTCCCAGTCGTTTTTTAATGGACAGGTCGTTTTGAGCACCAAGTATTATCAGCACCCTCTTAGAAAATTCAGAACGCAAAACTTTCCCATTGAAAGGAAAGCTTCGAGCTACAGGCCCATTATGTTGGATTACCTACTAGACCCCTTTGACATGGTAAGACCCAGATGATCCAATTCGCTATTGAT